CTTGTTTCATTAATATAGATTGAAGATTTGCAATGTTTGAAAATGTAATTTTAATAATGTTTTTATAATTATTAAAAGAATCTAAAAATTTATATATTTAAAAGAATGTTTTATGCAATTATAATGTTATATTAATGAATTTTTCAATTATAATATTTTTGATTTTTTGATTAAATATTTTTTTTATAATATTTTTTCATTAATTGAATTTTTAATATTTTAAATTGATTTCTTTGTCAATATTTTAAAAATTTTGTTTTCATTATTCATTTATCAACATTCATTTTTTTCATAATAATGTTGTTTTTATTTTCATTAAATGTTGTTGAAAAATCATATTTTTTATATTGAAAAATGTAAATGATAAATAATTTATTTTTTATAATTTTTTTGTTAACTCGTTGTTTAATTACAAACATGTTGATTTTGTGTTCATTATTTATATTTTTGTTGATGTTGTTAATAATCATATTTTTATAATTTGATAATTGAAAAATTATCAATTTAATGATTTTTTCATGTCATTTTAAAAATTTTTGGTTTTTTTAAATCATTTTTTATGATCGTTTTCGTGATAAAATCTTTATAATAAAGATTTTTTTTATTTTTTTTATATTAAACATGTTTTTAATTTATAATTTGAAATATCATCATAAAACCATATATTATTATAAATCACATTGTTGATATTTGTTTATTTTATTGTATTTGCATTTACAGTTAATAAATTGATATTATCAAATTATCAATAATTGTTTTGATTTATAATTATTTTCAATGATAAAATCATTGTTTTAAAAATTTCAATAAATTTTTTTATTTTATTATAAATTTTGTCAATATTCATTTTTTTAGTCATTTTGTATTTCATAAAATTAAAAAAATCAAATGTTTTATAATTTTATGTTAGATTGTCGATTATTAAAATATTATAAATGATATTTAATAATTTGTTATTTTGTTTTTTATTTTGAACAATTATTAACATTGTTTTTGTGAATTCTTCAAATATGTATATGTCAAATTTTTTAAATGGATTTTTGATGATTTTTTTGTTCAATTTCTTTTATAAATAAAAATAAAAATCTTACAAAAAATCATTTGTTTTATGTTCAAAGATTCAATGTTTTTTTTTATTTGAATCATGATCGTTACATATTTTTGAATATATCGTTTAATTTAATTGTTTCATTTTTTAATTGTTTGATATATATTTTAAAATATTCATATAAATGTATATGTTGTTTCATATTTTTTTAAAACTCATTTTAATTTTTGTTTTTATAATTATTCAATAATTTTATTTATTTTTTAATTCAAATTTTTATATATTTATAAATTTGTTCAATGATTTTTGTAGAAGAATCAGGTGCTTCGAGCAATCCGCCAAACCCTCGCTAAAGGCAAGTTCCGAAAACCTTTATATGAAGCGGAAGGTTCCATGAAAATAAGCGGTATTTGCCATGAAATCGGCCATGAAGACCACGTGATATTGAAGATATAAAGGGCCTTTCTATCCCCTAGTTAGCATTCAAGCAAGCTTCAATAATTCATTCATTTTTCTTCCACTTCGGTAGCCTACCCCTGGCACCCCAAATTCCTACAATTTTTCCGATGTTTGTGATCTTGTGATTTATATATATTTGTTTAAATTGTTTGAGAAATTAAATAACATTTTTATTACTAAAAATGAATGCATTTGATATATTAAGTATAAATATGAATATTAAAATAATTAATTTTTTATTTGTTATAATGTTATCAATATATTTAATAATTTCTATAAATTCTTTTTTATTTTTTGATAATTATTACATTTTTTATACAAATATAGCAATAATTCTGACGATATAATTTGATCAATAATTTATAATTAAAAATGTGATATTTTATTGTATTATTTTTTAAATTAACAAATGTTGTTAAAAATTATATGTTCAATTTGTGTAAATGATTGATTATTTATATAATTTTGTATTGTTTTTTTTGATCAAATATATTACATTTTTGAATTCGATCTTTCTATATCTTTTTTATTGCATTCATTTTAATGAAATTGTTCATTTTCATAATTTTAATAAAAAAATGAAAGCTTTTCTGTGTTAATTATTAATGTAAAAAAAATCGAATTAAACATTGTATTATAATAATAGAAAAAATACAATACAAAATGAAGATTATATCAATATAATATCATTATATAAAAGATTTGTCAAGGATCTTACGGTCAACATAGTGAATAAAAAGAAAGAAAAAGAAGTGTATAATTCATTTACGATAGGTGCGGAACTAGCTGAACTAAATACATGAAATATTCGGAAAAGGAACGACTCGGAACAATGTGGCTCCATGACCAGGCATGCACCAGAATCATTTTACAATATTTATATTCAAAAAATTTTAACAAGTAATTAACTTTTTATTTATAATTAATTAGTTTTAAAATTTTCAATTACTAATCGAACTTCAAAAAGAATTTAAATAAATAATTAAAAAAAATTTATTTTATAATTATATAATAAAAAACTATATTATTACATTTAATAAGAGATTATTTACTAAATTTTATATAATATTTTGTTTTTAATTTTTACAATATGTTATTTAAATTACAAAAATTTTATAATTAATATTCAAATAAACTAAAATTATTATAACAATTAGACAACTGACTTATTACAATAATTAATAATAAATTTTTAAATAAATATAATAATAATAATTTATTAGTTTAATAAATTATAAAATTATAAAACTAATTTTTTTTAAAAAAGAGATATTATTACAATTTATTTATATTATAAGTAATTATCTATTTAAAAGGGTTTTAAAGAAGTTTTTAATTAAATAAAAAATTACTTTAGTATGCATAGACTTGGCCAAAATCCCCATTCCCCATTCCCCGAACCCGCACCGCACCGCAGCGGGGCGGGTTCGGGGCGAGGGTTCAGAACCCGCAGCGGGTTGCGGGGATATTTTTTGGACTTGTGAGTATCCGCGGGTAATCGTTTGCTGCGGGCCAGCGGATTACTCGCAGCGATTAAATCTGCAAAATTCGCAATTTAGTTTTTCGCTTAAATAAATTAGTAAAAAATATATAAAAATAATATATATATTCTTTATATATTTATATATATTTTAAATTTAATTTAAATTTAATAATTATTTATTTAAGCAAAAAATTGCATTTTAAACTTTCATCAAACCATGATTAGAAAGTAGTATTGCAAATATATATAAAATTATCCGCATTTAATAAATTTGATTGCAAAAAAATGAAAATTTCAATTTTTTGTTTAAATAAATTATTAAAAAATATGGAAAAATAATATATATATATACATAAATACATAGAGAATATATATATATATAATTTCTATATATTTTTTATTAATTTATTTAAGCGAAAAGTCGAAAATTTCATTTTTTGAAATACCAAAACATTAAAATAAAGTTTAATATTCTGTCTCAAATCGCCCCGAAACCGCCTTGAAACTAGTCTATTTCGGCCTAGGGCTAGGACTTAACTCTAAGCTAGAACAAAATAGACTAGCGTGTGGGTTTTTTGGCAAAATCCGCACCGAACCCGCACCGAACCCTCTGCGGTGCGGGTTTCAATTTTTATACCCGAAATCCGCTGCGGGCGGGCCCTAAATAGGCAATCCCCGCCCGAACCCGCACCGAACCCAACTCTAGTCTAGGCTCCTTTGTAGACTATCACATATAACTTGTAATTGAAAAAAAATTTTATAAAGAAAAAAAGAACCATTTAATAAAAAAATTTTTAAATCTTTATATATTAACAAGATCTAATCGTCATGATCTGGCACATAATCTGACTGACTGCCTGTCTAGAAGAGCCTCAGAGAAAGTCCCGATCAAGCAAGAGATTGTTCTGGTAACTCTAGAAGAAGGCCTCAACGTTCTTTGTAAACAATTTTAAGCAAAAACTAAAAGATTTCTGTATCCAGTTGGGTCTCATTAGCATATAAGGATCCTAGAATCCCTTGTTAGATAGTCTCTTTCCTCTTTATAGAAAAATTGCTTGACTACAAGTCATAAACAAACTTGTCTTTTACTAGGCTCCTTTGTAGACTGTCACACTAATTAGATATAAAAATCTTTTATTTTTTATTTAGAATTATTTTCAAAAATACTAAAAAAAAATTTAAGCATACTAAAACATTCTTTGTTTAATTGAAAACTTTTCTAAGGCTTTTCTAGATAGGCAATCAGTCATGTCATGTGCTGGGTCGTGACATTTAATTAGATCCTATTAATATATAAAAGCTTTAAAATCTTTTATCAAATAATTTCTTTTCTTTTTATAAGAAAATTGCTTGATTACAAGTCATAAACAAACTTATCTTTTACTAAGCTCCTTTGTAGACCGTCACATCTATGGAGGGGTGGGAGGTTTCTGTCTGCCTACTTCTCTCTCTGTTTTTTCTTGTGTACATACATTCATTCATTCATCCGTCTGTCTCTCCCTCTGTCAGTCTCTTTTCTTCGCTTCCTGTCCATATTCATTTCCATTTCCATTTTATTAGATCTGTCCATACAGATATCAAACATTCCTTCTGTGAAGCTTGCTTCGCTTTAAGGTTTCTTTGGAAGTTCTTCTGTGCGCTGTTTGCTTCTGGTTCTGTATGTCAGTCGACCATCCTGGGAAGATTCACTTTGCCTTGCTTTCGTTCCATCCGTCTTCAACTCTCTTGTGAGTGAGCTTTGCTTCTAATCTTCATAAAGGCATCGGCTCGGTTTGAGAGTCCGATTCAGTCTTCAGTGTCGAGTCTCGAGTTCGAGATCAGTTTCTTCCCTCCTGATTATCCGCGTCAAGTCAGTTTTCGTGGTAAGTCGACTGAACTCTCTTAACTGGGCCGTCGTTTCGACGAGTTATCCGGTTTCAGAATAACCACTGTCTTTCTTTCTTTCGTTCTTTCTTTCTGACTAGTCACAACAGATTCAAATCGTCCAGATCATCAGCCCTCCAACAGAGCATGGGCAGAGGCAGAAGAGATACCTTCTGCACCGCCGAACTACCCCGCTCCGTTGACTCATTTGACTCATACTTCAATATCTCGCGCGTGTCTTACTTCCCAGGCGAAATGGCGCACTTGCGAAGGGCCTGCTCTCCTGACTCGCTGGTCATGACGCCCCTGCCTCAGCCCCTGCCTCCGCAGTATGATGGCACTGCTGAGCGGCGCAAGGCGAAGAAGAACAAGAAGTCGAATAAGAAGAAAAATAATAAGAAGACTACCGGGACAGCCTCGTCGCAGCAGACCGGTGGCGTCGATGATGAGAAGGTCGACGGGCTTCGGGTTGAATCTCTTTCTTCAAACGATGTTGCTGATAAGGGGGACGTTTTGGAAGATAATGATGCCGTGGCATCTCCGTTTATCGTTCATGGTGAAACGCCTGTCGATCGCGTGGTTATTGATTTGAGTCAGGGTCTGGGATCGGGTTCGCAGTTGGGTTATGGATCTGAATCGATCGGGGATGTCGAGAAAGAGATCGGTGCCTCATCTGAAAGTACCACGATCCGTGAAATGAGCGTTCGTCGTGATGAGGAGAGGGTGAAGAATGAACCATCGTCTGTCGCAAACAATGGTTCCGATCCGTTTGTATGCCACACACATAGACGTGTGGCGTGTAAGTTTGACCCCCGATGCTGTGTGCATAGAGATCCAAAGAATTGTTCGTGTCCCCCTCGTTGGTCGTGCTGTTGCCTGCATCATCTGGGAGATTGCTGTCATTGCGTGTCTATCCCTGATCTCACCACCTATGACGATGACGACGTGAACAACAACCAGGACAAGCCTTCAAGCGACCAAGGCCAAGACCCGAGCACGGAGGACAAAGGCTCAGGAGCAAACAACGGGAAAGAGTCGAGCAATCTCAATCCCCATACTCAAGTTGACAACCATGGCTCAAAAGGTGTTTCGAATAACAGCAAAGACGAAACATTGGAAAAGCCTGATTCTGGTTTTGAGGAGTTGAGTCAAGTGACTGAGGGCGACACGGAGAAAGTCTCAAGTGATGATGATCAAAAGCCCAAGAAAGGCAGCAAGTGTGACAAGATAAGTGATGAAATGGGTGAAAAGATAATCGACGACGAGAATATGGATGATCTCGATGTTGAAGAAAAGCCTGGGGACAAGGCTAAAGAAATGCCCGAGATCATGGCTGTGGACGCGGCCAAGCATGAGCCCAGCCACGAGAGCGAAGGCCAGGCCGAGGATAAGCCCGAGGCCAAGACAGTGGAGAGCATCGAGCACAAGAATAGAGACAAGGCTGAGAAGAAATGTGGTGATGAAGAAGGCGAGGAAAGGGACAAGACTGATGATAGGAAGGAAGGTGAGTTACGTTTCCCTGTGAGCTCGGAGTTCTTCGTGATGGCTAATAGGATTGAGATAGCCTCTGCAGAAAAACCGATGCCTCTGGCCAGCAGGCCTGCCCGGCCAACCGACCTTATGGGGCCCCTTGCTTCTCATCTGTTCGCCAAATTGTTGCGCAATGAATACTGCGACTCCATTATTGTGCTCCGGTCAGTGACGGATAACTTCCTGCCAATGGAATTTGCCGTACACAAGGTCGTGGCCACTCAAAGTCCGCTGGCTGCTGCCTGCTTTCATTCCAGTAACCGAATCTTTGCCGTCGTGCGAGAGAATTTTGCGATGATCAAAGCATTTGAATTGGCGTTGTGGAATCTCTATGGCCATCCTCTCGTGACGCGCCACCAACTCAGGGCTTCAACGCTTTCAGCATACGGTTATACCCAAGACGCCAGGGGCCAGTTAAACTTCCACGTCAACGGAGCCATGGCCGATTTCGCCATATGCTATGCCACTTCGGGCGTCTTCTTTCAGCTGCACAATGTTGCCGAAGCGGGCTTCACCATGATAGCGGAGCTTGTCGATTGGGATACGGTCGAGCTTATTCTCTGCATCGGCCTTGAGATCCTCAAATTTACCGTCAATCTGGAAGCGGGCGCCGGACCTGGCCACGAGCAAGTACACAACCAGAACATCGCTCGCGAGCTGCAGGAGATGTGGGCGCCGATGGTGATCAATGCAGTGTTGGAGTTTGTTTGTAAGTATGTGAAGGAGACTGAGGGGTTTTCGTTGGTCGCCGGAGCACAGAGCACAGGGATGCCAGATCGAATCCCCGAGTCTCTGAGAACCTTTCCCAGCGCCGTGACGGCCAGGCCCAAGTTGTCCGACGTCAAGTTTGGATCATTCTCAACAGTCCACGAACAGAAGCCAGCCAAGGAAGCTGTCATCTCGTCCGCTATTTTGATCAACCTGCCGTATGAACAACTTGGTTTGACCTTCACAATTATGACAGCACGAAACGTGCTGTCGGTGGAGCTAGCCCAGGCGGTGATCAGCGCAAGGGAGGCACGACGGCTGCAGGCTCTCCTTCTGCTCTCCCAGCAGGGCGGTCCCGGACGCTCTGCTGGAAATGGAGAGCTGGGGTACCGGGAATACCTCGCAGGCACCGCGCCAGGGCCACAGACGTTGACCACAGAGGTCGAGCTGTGTCGGGAGTGGGTCGGGTTGGGCGCTGTCTCCGAGCCCTGAGATCTCGGAGACGGCAGTCTACCCCGCCCACCCCCTGGGTTGCGCGAGAGTAGGGGCCTCTGGAAAGAGAGATGAGGGTAGAGGGGAAGGGGGCAAGGGGGGAACGAAACACAAGCGGAGGAGGCGGGACACTGAGAGAAAGGAAGAGAGAGAGAGAGAGAGAGAGGAAGTGAGTTGGAGAAGCTCAAGAGAAGAAATGCGGGGGAATTCAGGCAGAAAGTTGGGCGGTGACTGTTGGCGGTGAGAAGTGCCTGTTTTGTTTTGTTTTGTTCTCTTTCTCTTTTCGTGATGTGCATCCTTTCACGTCTTTCCTCACACTCAAACACCTTTCACGGAGGATCACACGGATCACCGGAAACTACGGTAATCTTTACATTGGCTTGGGCAATCACAATAAGTAGGAGATATCATTTCAAAGTGTCATGCAGATCATACAGAATCAAGTCATTTACATGTCGTCATTGCTCTTGGTCCCCTTTTCAAACTGTACAAATGCCTCTATATCATGATCATAGCACATTCTATGGCACCACTGATGTGGCAAACATAACAGGACAAGGAGCTCTAAGACTTGTCCGGGAAGCCAAAGTCAATGCCAAAGGGCGGGTAGACGAATCGCTGGAATGCTTTCTTCGCAGCCAGCTCGTCGGTGTACTTGGCAATAGTAGCCAGATCCGAATCATCCAGCTTGACCAGGTTGCGGTTGTCTTCAATGCGAGAAGGCGTGACTGATTTGGCGAGCACGGAGGATCCACGGGCAACTTTGAGAGAAGAAAACGTCAGCAAAATACCTTCCTGAGAAGCATACCGGGTACTTACTGTGCCAGCTCAGAAGAACGGTGGCGGGAGTGACGCCCTTATCCTTTGCAACCTTCACAATAGGCTCGGCCGTGAAGAGCGGGCTGCCAGTGCTGCCCAGCGGGCTGTAGGCAGTGATGTGAATACCCTTCTCCTTGCAGAAGTCGACAATCTCCTGCTGAGGAAGAGAAGGGTGGTTCTCGATCTGGTTGACGGCGGGAATCACCGTGGCGTGGGGAAGCAGCTCTTCAAGGTAGCGCTTGCTGTAGTTGGAGACACCAATTGCCTTGACCTTACCGGTCGCCAGCAGCTTCTCCATGCTCTTCCAGGTGTCAATGTGCGAGTGTGAGTGGATGATATCCCGGGAACCGTCGGGGTGCTTGGGGAAGAGAGGGTGGTTTCCTAAGAACCCGTTAGAAATGAACGCCTCGGAGAAACAGATGGCAACTCACCTTCGGGGTTCATGAGCAGAGGCCAGTGGACGAGGTACAAATCGAGGTAGTCCAGGCCCAGGTTCTTCAAGCTCAGGTTCAGAGCCTCCTCGACCCGGGTTTGGTAGGTGCACCATAGCTTTGTGGTGACAAAGAGATCCTCCCGCTTGACCTTGCCCGAAGCGAGGGCCTCTTTGATGCCTTTGCCGACTTCCTCTTCGTTCTGGTAGCAGAACGCACCGTCGATGTGCCTGTATCCCACGGAAATGGCGTGGCTCACGGCCTTTTCGACCTCACCGGGGGCGGATTGCCAGGTGCCTACGAGCTGGTTAGTCTGACTGGACTAATTGGCAGATAGATTTAGAGTAAATAGCAAGTACATACCGAGACCCAAGGCGGGGATCTCCGCGCCGGTGTTTAGTTTGAAGCGGGTGTCCGAGACGGCGGCCATGATGGATTGGTATCGGGGGAATAGGGCGGAGAGACGGGAATACAGGATGAAGGGAGAGGAGGGAGGAGAGACTTTGGAGAATAGAAAGAGAAAAGAAGAGAGACGAAGGGGAAGAGGAGCCAGAGCTCATACTAATAATCCAACAGAAAAAAGCACCCCGCGCCGCCCCTCCATCGACCTGCGCCGGAGCAACTCCGCCCGAAGCTCCATCAATCATAACCGTTGCTCGGACTATTTCAGCGCGAAGTGTGAAGATCGTCTCTCCTTTGGCTGGGCATTTCACTCTACTTGAATCCATTGCCCTCCGTTTCTTCTCTTTCTTTTGCATGAGTCCTAAATCAATCGTGATGCGAATGGATGCAGTCGACAACGAAGTCAGCCAGTTCGACGTTCGCTACTGTCCGCATCATTCATGGTCGATAACCGAATGCCGACATGATGAACCCCTCGTCTCCGTCTTTCTCCGCATGCCCAGAATCCGACCTGGACTATGGATACTCCGACGGGAAATGGTGGGGGCACCTGGGGTCATTTCGCACAAGGTGAACGCCTAGACGGGGAACGACAACAGGATGGATCAACAGTCCCCCAGGGGATTCCAGCCCGATTTAGAAGAATTCGAGGGGAGCCGCATGCCGATAAAAATAAACAAAATAAGAAACAGAAAAAGAAACAGACTCAGCAAACCATCTGCCAGAGAATCTCGAATGGAAGGGTCTGCATGGAATCAGCCGTGGGTGATTCGACCGTCGGAAACCAGAATCCTTAAGCGTTGCACATCCCACGGCCAACGCCCGCGGATTGACATCACAATCCCCACCGAGATCCAGATCTGTCCCCTGGCAAGATCCTCCCACGTTCTGCACCGGTGGAGATCATCCCCAGCCCTTGCGCTTCCAGAACTGATACCCCCGGAACCCGGAATCCGACCGATGAGCAGGCCATGATCGTGCCCTGGTGTCACCGCCATGGCCATGCAGATCATCGGTTTTCGATTCTCTGGGGTATTGGAATCGACTGTAGGAAATCATACGGCTTTCGGGGAATGTTTCCACAATCGCCCTTCCTACTACGCTGCTGCTCCATATTTATGCCGCCATCTCCCACAGCGTTTTGTCTCTCCAACAGCAATCCTTTGACAGAGACTTGAATTCCCTTTAACGAAGCCATTTTACCAAGTTTGAACCATACAAACGGTCAAATCAGACGATCAAAAAGATTCTATACATAAAACCACATCTTCATAACTCTTCACAATGGCACCAGTCGCTGTGTCACCCGAGATTCCCGTCTTCAACACCAAGCGGGATGGACAGGCCCTTGAGGATCTGTCCGACGCCATCGACGACGTCAACGTCTTGAAGGCCAACATGAAGGAGAAGGAGAAGGGCCTGTACGAGGCCTCCGAGTTCGACAAAAACAAGGACAAGACCCAGTTCCGTCAGTACGAGGACGCCTGCGATCGCGTCAAGAACTTCTACAAGGAGCAGCACACCAAGCAGACGGTCGCCTACAACCTCAAGGCCCGCAACGACTTCCACTCCAAGACCCGTGCCGAGATGACCGTCTGGGAAGCCATGGAGAAGCTCAACACCCTCATCGACGAGTCCGACCCGGACACCAGCCTCTCCCAGATCGAGCACCTCCTGCAGTCCGCCGAGGCCATCCGCCGCGACGGCAAGCCGCGCTGGATGCAGCTGACCGGCCTCATCCACGACCTGGGCAAGCTGCTGTACTTTTTCGACGCCCAGGGCCAGTGGGACGTCGTCGGGGACACCTTCCCCGTGGGTCTGGCTTTCGACGACCGCATCATCTACGGCACCGAGTCCTTCAAGGATAACGAGGACTTTGGCCACCCCATCTACGGCAGCAAGTTCGGCATCTACAGCCCCGGCTGCGGCCTGGACAACGTGATGCTCTCGTGGGGACACGACGAGTACCTCTACCACGTCGTCAAGGAGCAGTCGACCCTGCCCGACGAGGCCCTCGCCATGATCCGCTACCACTCGTTCTACCCCTGGCACAACGCCGGCGCTTACCACGAGCTCATGAACGACCACGACAAGGAGATGCTGAAGGCTGTCAAGGCCTTTAACCCTTACGACTTGTACAGCAAGAGTGATGACGTCCCCACGGTCGAGGAGCTGAAGGTGAGAAACCCCCTCCTCCACAGCCCCAATCAGAACATAATACTAACTTCCCATCCCCATCTAGCCTTACTACTTCGACCTGATCAACGAATACTTCCCCACCAGGGTGATCAAGTGGTAAATCGGTGAAAAATGATGATATCCGTACCATGATTGTTCGACACGATAGAGACTGTATTGATCGATCTGTTGTTCTTGTTGCTGATGTACTTTCTTTTGTCTCCTCTTGCTTTACCCTTTCAATTCTTGTTTATTCCTGCATGATGATAGCGATGATTTACGAACCGATTCAAAACCAACCCAATTACCCAAATACATTGAATCAAAAGACCACAAATAAAACAAGGTCTTGTTTATTTACTTGATACACATTCTTTTCAAATTTATGTTTGATGTAGAAGTAGTTTTGTTTCAACTATGGGAAATGAACGTTCAAGATTATGGTGCATTTTGATTACGAAGTTACAAACATAGTAGGTACTCGAATACCCCTTCTTTCGATTATTCTCCAACGTATCAGCCACATAATTCATTGTAAAAGGAAGAGCCTGCCCTATGCGACTCGGAAACGGAATCCCGAGACGGTGGGTCGAACGGGTATTCCGAGAGAGAATCTGTTTCACGTCGATCCATGGGGAGAAGTGCGAAAATAGATAGTAACTGGTAGCGAGTAGAAAACGTTACATATGTAAGAGAGCCAAGATATTCAGATGGTCTTCGTTAGTTATCTCGGGAGCAGTAGCTTATTTGGCTGGTATCAAGTTCGATCAAAGATCAGGTGCAAGGGTTTGCTTTACCGGACAGAGGACGGGCATTGCAATTGGTCTATTTGAATCTATTTCCGACACCAACACTAAGGACTAACAAAGCAATCATCGTAAAACATGTCTCAGGTTGCCAGAACAGGAAGGAAATGGTGAAGAACATCAGGAGTCATCAAACAACTATGAGTCTATAGTCGGGACTTTTGCTCACGGTTACCCGCCTGATCGAAGAAGATCTTCTCGCCAGTGATGAGCGCCTCCTGGAGCGCAGCTCCAATGCGCACAGCCTGTACGGCACCCTCGAGCTTCAACGGCACGGCGGTGTTCTCCAGACACGATGCCGTGAACTCGTTGGCCTCGGTGACGAACGCATACTCGAACCGGTCGTAGTAGTGCTGGGGCACCTCGCGACGGATACCAGCGCTGTCATAAATGTTGACCAGGTTCAACGCCGGCTGCGTGTTCACGGCCAGTTTGCCCTGCGTGCCGACGATCTCGGTGGTGTCTTCCTGGCCGGCGGCCATCATGCGCGAGGCGTAGAAGTAGGCGATCTTGCCGTTATAGAACTCGACGAGTCCGACCGCGTTGTCACGGTCGTTGTGCTTGCGGAGGTCGGGCTCCACGGCCGTGATACCCACAGCCGACACAGACTTGACCTTGCTGTCTTGGCCAAAAAACCAGAGAGCGAGGTCGATGTCGTGGATGGAGCAGTCGACGAAGATTCCGCCGGAGAACTCGGCGTAGGCGACGAAGAAGCCGGTCGGGTCAAGCTTATCGCATGTCTGACTGCGCATGACGGAGGGCGAGCCAATGGTGCCGGCAGACATCTTGGAGAAGGCATCTCGGTAGGAGGCATCGAAGCGACGGGAGAAGCCACACATCACCTTGAGGTGAGGCTTCTTGGCAGCGGCGTCCAGGACGGATTGGGACTATTAGAACGACTGTATCAGCTGACCGGACTTTCTGATCGGACTTTCCTGAAAGAGCACATACAATGTCAACACTTGTGGACAGCGGCTTCTCACACAAGACGTTCTTGTCGGCCGCGATAGCCTTGATGGCTTGCTCAGCATGCACGGCGGTAGCAGAAGCAACGACGACAGCTTCCAGGCCCTCGTGCTTGAGCATGTCATCGTAGTTCTTGTATAGCTTCACTCCGTAAGGAGCGAGGTGAACTTTGGCCCATTCTAGCTCCGTGTCGTCCGGCGTGCTAGCCGCGACGAGGTCTGCACGGGGGGTCCGTTGAAGGAAGTTCAGGGCATGGCGCTTGCCCATGCGGCCGAGACCAGCGCAGCCAACTTTCAACTTGGTAGCAGACATGGTGATATTGGAAGGGAGAAAGGGAAAAAAAACCGGAGGGAAGACGTGACAGAGAGAAGAGAAAATCGAAGGAGATGAGAGGAGATGAAGAGATGAATTGAATTGAAGGACCAGGCAAAGAAGAAATCAATCGAGGAGAACCGGCCGGGAATTTATTCGGTCGGGGACCATCCCTCGAGAGACCGCAAAGTCGGTCAAGTTTCCCTTCGGACTTGGCGTCGAATTGAGGAAAGAAGGACCTTGCCTAAGCAGGACCAGCCAGATCAGCTAGTGTTGCCGGTCCAGGTCCGTCAGTCATGTCGGGACTCTTACTAAACGGCTCTTGCTGGAGCTTGGAGATGTTGAGTGGAGACCTGGTTCCTACCCCGGAATCCATTTGCTGCAGTCCGAGTGGTCGGAAACTGCTTTCCTGCGCAAACGAGATGCATTCCCGGCTTGGGACATGAGGATCTCGGGGCGCATCCGATTGCTATTCGCAGACAGGCGTAAGAGTAAAGATCCGCTCCTGCTAGCTGCGAGTTCAAGTTAGAGGACGAAGGAGGAAGGCAGCTTCGTTGGGGGTGATTTTCCCCGCACGGGGAGCTTTGCTGCCTTGGGAAAAGCGGCAGGTGCGCCCGGTCGCTGCCCGGTCGCTCCTTCTGCTTTGGTCCATGCGGAAGGCTGGCCCGGTCACGTGGAACAGAACACACTCGACTAATTGCAGTATTTTCCCCAGAGGGGGAAAAAAGACTAGTTACATTCACGGGTCGCTTTCCTCTCCCCGCTCAAGATTCATCCTCATTCTTCTGTGCAGCCGTCTTCTTGTGCTTCCGTTTGGCAGCAGCATCCGCCGGGTCTACGTATCCATCCCCTCTCATCCAGGCCAATGCTTTCCGCACTCCCTTTCCTTGCACCGCAGAGGGTCGAGCTTCCAAGATCGACCCCATGAGAGCCCAGGTGATCACCAGGACGGATATATCCCCGCCATTCCACCCCTTCCAGAGCCCGCGCTTGACCCCCGACTTCCACGCCGAGTCCACGGCCGCGCGGAAAAAGTACAGGAAGATGTTACGGCTGCTGCTAAGGAACGCAAATGGTACACCGGCCACTGCTCCGCTCAGGAAGAATCGTTGCGTCGGAAGAACGGACCGTGGGAGGATGGAGTTCCAGAGGCAGATGCTTCCCCACGCAGAGCCGACCGAGGCAGAAAGAATGGTCGTCAATGCAATGATCCGCTTCGAGAGATTGTTAATTGAGGTAATGGGCTGGGTGACGAAACTCTTAAGCTTCAGTGCCGACAGCGCCAAGGTCACCGTGGTTATAAATCGGGCTAGAGGTGGAACGGAAAGAAGAAGGTGGTGCAGAAACGTCGTGCCGCAGCTCGGGCAGCCGGGATGAAGCAGAGCGCATGACAGACTGGAAATGGACGGATGCGCAGGTCCAGTAATGGGGGATATGGTTTTGACCGTAGATGGTAACGTGTAGGGATCCGCTGGATGAAGAATAGGCGAGATGAATGCTCTATTAAAAAGTTAGAGTTTGTTCGATTTGGTGTTGCTCAAAGCGGGCACGAGAAAGTAAATCAAGGACTTACGGCCATCGCAGCTTCGCAACAGTGGCGAGCGAGTCCACTATGGCTTCCTTCTCAGGCCAAGGGACATTGGCAGGCAGAGTCTCCGGTCGACCATGGATGTAGGCGGGAGAGAGCCTCATGATAACGTTTCCGAGCCACTATTTGCGGTCAGTTTGTTGAACATTGTACAATGGCTTTGACAAGACTGTGATTCTGTAGTCCAGCTTACCTTGGGCGTGGTTTCTCGGTCGAAAACAAACGCGTGGAACAGCTGAGCGCAAGACAGAGGCATTAACAGCCAGCTTCCAAACCACCAGGGCCGATTCTCGATCCAGCCTTTCTCATTAACCACATTGAAAAGGAACTCCAAACTCCGGGTCGTTGTGTAGATGGCGGCCGTCATCCGGAGCTGCTTTTGGGGGCAGATGCCCAGCGCAAACCCCGCCAAACTGGCGCCGACGGCGGGCGCATATCGTGAAGTCAGAGCACTGGAAATGCGCGGGTTCCTTTTGCGGAACGGCTCGGCCTCCTCGGTGCGGAGGTTTGCGCGTAGGCGAACAAAGAAGCGATGGAGGAGCCGGTGCAGGAGGAGCACTAGAGAAAGAGCGAGGGAGAGTCGGAAGTTAGGGGAGCGAAAAAGCGAGACACGAGGTTCCTTTTTAGAGCTACCGATCAAAGTCACGAATGGGTTAGTCAGGGAAATATGATCGGTCAGCATAGCATCGTACCTCGAGAGCTCTCCCCGGATTCTGCGAGCAACCAGGTCCACAAGCTTCAACGATGCTCCCGAGAGTAGGAAGACGCGCACAGACGTGCGAAAGGCCGCCACATTGTGTTTGTTTTTAGATCGGACGATGGTTTCGTAGTGCGATGGTGATGGCAGTTTAGACTGGAATGAAGGAGCGCGTTGGGCCACAAGTTGGTGCAGCGTCTTGTATTCCTTGGCGCTCAGAGAAATGCGGAGAGCGTTGCGAACAACCGGGTGGACGTGAGGCTGGATGTCCGCATCGCCGGTGGAGCCGGATGCCATGATGCGGGCGATAAATCTAGGGTCAGATGGAAGATCTTCGAGATATGGCTGAGTCCTGGGGCTCACATCCTGCGATGTGTGGAGGAAAGAGGCCAGGGGGAAACAGGGAAGAATGGATGGATGAGCGCATCGCTCGTGACCTCGGCTATTTGGGTCGGCGGCATGTTCAGCCTCATGTGCTCCAGACATACTAAGGTATATTCTCATAAAGAATAGAAGAACTTATATATATATATATACACAAAATACGCATTAGCTCTGAAATGCCCAGATGATGGAAATTCAATCTCTATATTAGATTACCTGCTGTACGCGTCCCATATGATCAAGATAAGGGTCGTGAAAACAGGTTCAACATGCCAAAAGAACATAGCAGCGGGAATCAATAAAGAAAAATAAACAAAAAAAGATAATTCTACACAATTAAAACGAGAATAAACAGAATGAAAATGAGAAAAGAAAGTGCGACGAAGAGAATTATCCCATGCCATGTTAAGAAAATAGAACCCCACCGTCAGATCACAGTTTGCGCCATCTTCAGACTCCAAAAAGTCAAAACCCACAACTGAGTTCAGTGATTACCAGAAGCTGCACCATCCGATCCAGTGCTGGCAGATGTTCTCAACGCTGGTTGCTTGAGCAAGAAGCTTATCAACCTGGTCGCTAATATTAAGCTCTTCGTTGGGCTTAAAGTCCCGTCCGGTCAGCTTCTCCTTGACACGCGCAAGGACCTGCAATGCCCGTGCATTCTGTGCTTCGCGGGCTTCATTCGGGATTCCTTCTTGAGCGTCGAGTATGCCGCCTTCGAGTATCGAAGGTCGACGGTGGCGGGAGAAGTTGCTAGGCTGGACGCCATTATCAACATTGATGTTGGAGATGATTGACTGTCGGCGTTCCGATGAGAATGGCATCCGGTCGGGGGACTCGCGCACCCCCAGTCGCCAGTTGATCAAAGGATCGTGAATGAACTGGAATATATTAGCATCGTTCAGATTGTTAGTTCGGAAGTGGCCTAAAAACTTACCGCCTCCAAAACGGCCATCAGTGAGTCCTTGTTTTCTCTCAAAACACGCATGACAGCCTCGCAGGTGATCCGGTAGCTTCCCTCGATATTGCTGACTTCCATTGCAAAGGTCAACATACGGGTCAGTCGGAATGGCACTCGTTCCGGATACTTCTCCCGATGCATTGCAACTTCAAAGCAGTCACCGAAATCAATGTGAACCACCCTTCCAGTGACTCGGTCCAGCAGAAGATTGGAAGGATGGCGATCTCCCAGACCAAGAATGTAGCCCACCATCGACATAACACCGAGAGAACGAGTGTAATTCGTCCGTCGCTCGAGCCAGGCCTCGGAACTCTTGCTCTTAAGCCACAAAACCCGATACAGATCTTTTCCGGTGGTGTTGTCCATGGCGTACCCGAATACCTCAACCTTTTGCATGAGAGTGAGGTTGTCATAATCGGGCGCCATCTGGAGCATGATACGGTGCTCAATGTTTAGCAGGATGCGACGACTCTCTCGGTATTCCTTAATCAGCGCATGGAGAGTATCACTGTTCGAGACCCAGCCCAAGAGACCAGAACTCTGGGACAATGGAATGGCGGGGAATCGCTGGACAGACAGATGGCGTTTGAAACTTTCCCCGTCGTTGTCGAGAAGCGTGTTGACCAGGCCGAATAGTTGCATGACTCGCTCATCTTGTCTTATGTCCTCATGTCCCTTGAGGGCATACATGTAAGAATTGCCATCACTGCCCTTAAGTGTCATTCTTCGCGGTCGTTTCTTGGTCTGGAGGACGTGTAGTATCGGATCGAAGCTAACAATTCGAATGATAGGCCGGCCGCTTTGGTATGTACCAGGAACAGCCAAATCAAGATCCATACAGTCCTTGAGTCTGGGGGAGACGTATTTCAAATCCAGAGTGGACAATTGCGGAAGCTGCCGGCTGATCTTCCTGAAGACAGTGTAATAGAGGTCCCATGCCTGATTCAAGTCCCCGATTTCCTCGGTTTCGCGATACAGCATACAATAATGCTTCGCTTCTGCAAGGTCACGCCCGAAAGCTTGGGCAAAAGACACTTCACGCAATGTTTCAGCCCCCTTATCAAGCATTTCATGCAGAGGCGCAAGAGTTGCAAACATGCCTTCGACATTGTGGTCCCCAAAGTAAAGCCGGGAGGCTTCTTCGAGGCCTTCATGCCAAAGTTCGTGCCAAAGGACTGCGACACGGATCAACTCATGACTCACGAGATCAGCCTGTTCGACCAATCTCGCACTATGCTGGCGCATGTTGTCCATAATATTGCTTGCTGATTGCGACCGTCGAGTAACATTGGATTTCATCGCAACGGTCAAGGGATACACCAGAGCTTGTGGGTGGGTTTTACCGACCTCGGCCAGTAATCGATGAACAGCGCTCCGAACCCTGATATTCGGCTGATTGATCCGTGCGATCAGCTGGGGAGTAACGGCAAGCCACGTATCGATGTTCACTGCGGTGAATCCTTCTGTGACGACAGCGTTGACTTCTTGGTCGCCTCCGTGGGTAAACCAGAGGGTGAGGAGTCGCAAGGTATCCTGCAATGAGGACGTCGATGACAGAGAGATTGACCTCAGGAAGCCGCGGATTGCGGGAATTACATGCTCGGTGACAATGTGGCCCGGTACCAAGGCCGGTGCGGTGCCATCACGGCTAGCTTGGCCGGCAATTGTCGTGACGACTTCAAAATTTGCCAACGCCCAAGAGTGCCAGGCTTTGTATGAATCGCGATTGTATTTGGTAGCCGCAGAGTAGGCGTTGAGCACCTCACGAACATGCTCTGGCTTCCAGTCGCCTCGCTGTAGTGAGGTTTGCCATTCACCTAATCGAAGGTAGCTCTTCGCCAGTAGCCTCCTAACTTTCGCCACGTCTTGAATCCGGTCACGAAGACCCATGATGTCGGTGTGGTTTGCATCAGTAATACCGTTGACGCCGTTCATTCCGTTGTGCTCGGCTTGAGAGATCATGAGTGTGTTGAAGCGCGTAAAGTCTTCAGTGAGTTCAGCGGTGAACTCTTTCAGCATTTGGAGAGCCTCGCGCTGTCGTCCAGTAGCCCAGCTAAACTTCAATCGAGCATAAGTTACCTCTGAAGGAATCACAGCTCGTGTGCCACTGCCATCAGAGACGACAGTCTCCAAGGACGCGAGCGACCGCTCCGCTAGACCCATCCGGTTTGACTTGCGGCAAAGGTTGGCAAATTTGATCCACATGTCGAGATTTTCCCGAGGAGAGGTGACGAGAGCTCTGACCTTGAGCATACGTTGCCAAACCTCGACATTTTGCTGACAGCCGAGCAATCGCTTGTTCCATGTCTGACGCATAGAAATCTGCTTTTCGGGATCGCCGACATTCTGCTTGTATGTAATGATCTCCTCGAGTTCCGCAAGCATTTGAACACGAACCACAACGTTGTACGCACGGTTGTATGACTCTCCAAGAAGGGCGGACAACTCGGTGTCAAGGCCATTTCGCGCCTTCTCAATGTACATCGTTGCCTCGTCAAACTGATTTCGGTGAATCGAGAGAATAGCCCCGAAGAATGATCGATCCGGCGACTGCTCCTTCATGACCCCAAGATAAGAGTCCATAAGCTCCCACTGACCCCTGCCCCAGGCCGCTGCCGCTGCTAGAGGAGCAATTGCTCTCCGGTGTTCCAGTGACGCTTGGTTCCATTTTTCTTGAGCAAGATCAGATAGAACCTTCCACTCGCCCAGTGCGTGTAGACATCGCATTTTACCCATGGTGACTCCAAAGGAGTCGGGGTCAATCTTCTCGCGTCGCTTGTACGCAGCGAGAGCTTCCTCCCAGCGCTGAAGTTTTTCGAACCAAGTCTCTTTCAGTTCCACGTCCCGATAAGCCTGGGCCTTTCGAAGGATACCGATGGCCGCGTCCGATTGTTGGAGCTGGTTGTTGATGGTAATCAGAGCCTCCACTGCCCCCGAGTTTTGATCCTGTTCAAACTCGAGCTCCTTGTAATGAAGGGCCTTGGCAAATGCATGACACTTCGCAGCGTATTTGCCAAGTGTACGAATGTCAATGGGAAGAGCCTTGTCATCATGCTCCATGAATTCTGCGAGATTTAGAAGAACTTGCAGGATCTCTGGGGGGATATTTGGCGACGTGAGAGCTTTTTCGATGGAACGAACAAGCTCCTCCTGGTACTGATCATACAGCTCCGTCCAGCAGGAAACAAAGGCGGCATTGAAGAGATCTCGTGCAAGAGGTTGATAGATACCTGCCAGACTGGCACAAGCACGCAGCGCCGGAGAGGGCGACTCCTTCAGCAGCTCCACACTAAAACGACGTATCCATTCCTGCCAATCCTCCCGCGTCGACTTTTGGGAGGCGTCCCATGCATTCTTTAGGTGTTGTTGATTGACAACCATTTTCTTCTGACCGATCTCTGCATAATTCGTGTCATCTGCCAGAGCTGCATAGTTTTCGTCGGGGTTGAGATCTTGCGGGAGGGGATCTCCCTTTTGCAACTTTGTGACCAGGATCTGGTAGTTGATATGGGAGACTGAATGCTGCTTCAGAACCTTGTTCAAGAGGTTTATGTAGTGGCTGAAATCTTGGCCCAATTGAAAAATGAGGGCACAGATGCAATCCATGGCGGCCTGTCGTAGAATGCGGTCATTGCCTGCAACAATTCGGGACAAGGAATGGACCATTAGAGATGCAAAGTCAGAAACGTTGACCTGTCTCGAGAGTTTGGTGAGACTTTCGATGGCCGATTTTCGAATACTCTGCGGGTTTTGAGTCCTGTCAAAGAGCTGGACAATCGAGGGGACTATCAAATGCATGTATTCTTCCCCACTAGTGCCAAATATCAAAAACGTGTGGAGAATCCTCTCTGATGGTTGTCGGCGAGGAGTGCTGTCGTTATCAAGCGTGTCTAGCATCGGTGGAATGAGACCCGCAAGATATTTCTTGAATTCACCTTCTAAAGACTTGGCGATGGCTTCCACGAGTGACAGGATGGTAGCCTGGACTTGGTATGATGCATCCCAGAAATCACGAATGACTTCAATAATCTCGGGCAAGAAGGCTCGAATATGCTGCCTAACGATATTAACCAGAATTGCCATTTGATTGAAGTACGACTCAAGGCGGCTAGGAGGCGACCCTCTGATGACCGATATAAACCCGGGGATGATCTGTCCAAGGAATGGCACGCATTTCAGCCCCAATGTTTTGAATATCGTAACGATTGCATCGATAACTGCGGAATGGTATTGGGCAAGAGAGTTCTCGCGCAAGATACTTTGCATCAGAGTATTGATGACAACAGTTGGGTAGTATTCCTCATTGGAAGGCGTAAGGCCCTGCATGATCAGAGCAACATCTGAAACGGTTTGGACCTCATTGATGTGGTGAACGTCGGGTGCACTCTCGCTTATCTGCTGGTACTTGTACGGATCCAACGCACCGACAATTCCTAGTAATTTGATGGTTTCTTTGCGCAGGGAACCCGTCTGCTCCGTCTTGATGATATTGATCAGCACTGCGAGAAGATGAGGGTATTCAAGGTACGGGTCAATGACGTATCCCGAGTTGCTGGCCAATTGGCCTAGTGTCCGCAAAGCAGCCTCGCGTTTGGCGTGTGAAGAAAGGTCCTGTAAAGAATCCAGGATAATTGGCATAAGTTGTGGTAGATAGACTCTCATTTCGTTTCCGCCCACGTTTGCAAGCTCTCCAACGGCTTTAAGTGTAGTAGAGGCAACTCCAGGATTGGCATCAGTTGCCTTTGGAAGCAACGTCGTCACCATCGGATCGACGTAGGATCGAATGAGTTTAGTCGCATTTGAAACAAACAGACTGATGAGCTGAGCGCTTTCTTCCTTTTGCCGAGCTGTACTTGCGAAACCCAGGCCAGTCAGAAGGTTGACGAGGAGTTTCCGTAGTGGTGGGAAGACATATGCCGGATTGACACTAGAGAGGCGGCCAATAATGCAGATTGCAGCTTCCCTGACGGAGAAGACTTCATCGTTCACAGCCAAAAACAGACAGCGAATATTTTCTGGCCTGGCGAGGTGACGGTCAAATTTGCGGTCCAAAGACCACAGCACCGTACGCCGGATTTCGGGGTCCGGGTCACCAACGCCCACGGTCAGCAGTTTGTCAATGACCTCACTAACGACTTGTATCGAATGGCTACTTGTTTGGTTGATGATCGGGTCGTGAACAAAAAGTTGACAACATGTAAGTGCCGAGGCTTTCCGGATTTCAGGGTTGTCGTTTTCGACATAGTTTATCGCGACATCACGGACAAACTCGTTGAGAATGTGCCCAGAGAAGTCGAAACTACCCAAAGTGTGAAGGGCTAAAGCAATTTCCGCATCAGTGTGCGATTCCTGCGGGGCAAAGTCCTTTGCAAAGGAAGGCATAGGAGGTAGCCTGGTTTCCGGACATCCCAGAGGCCGGAATGGGGCCCCGTATAGAATCAAACTCAGCATATCCAAGAGCTTCTCCTGTATCGTAGGTTTGATGGGAGGGATGTAGTGTGCCATGTCGACAAGTGCCTGTGTCAGAGATTCGCTCAGTCCGCAGGCAAAAATGGGATCAAGCAACGTCTCCATGTACTTGTTGAGCGCTTGTCCCACGGCCAGTGACAACATGCTGATACACTCGAACATCGGGGCTTCCTTGACAGCAGCTCGATTACGCCTAGAAATGTTAGCTGAAGCGGACATTATAGGGTTCTGGAGGCGGCTCACGCTTTCAGGGCGAGTCCCTCCCGTATGTAAACGATGATACCGTCGAGATATTGCGCGATGGCACCTCCTACGGCATTGGCAATCTTTCCAATCGCGATGAAAGCTGAATCTCGCTCCTTCTCTCGCTTGAGCTGTGCTTGGAGGTAGATCATGAATCGGTGAAGGTAGGTTTCGGTGAAGTCAACAGGGGCGTACGAGGCGAGAATCGGTATCGTCAGGACAACCTGCGTGCGAATCTTCGAGTCCCGGTGGTCCTTTAGGCGGAGAACAATTTCACAGGCGTTCCTGTAGTGCTCATTCATGAACATGGCGCCCTTGAGAAGAAGTTCCTTGAGAACCAGAAGTGATCCGTGTATCCAATCCACGTTGTTAGATTTCAGGCCGAGAAGCGCCTCCTCGTGTATTCTGGCAAACCATAGCTGCCGTACTTGCATGTCCCTGGCAGCAATTATCTCAAAGCATTCACTGACCGCCTGAGCGGCAGTCTCTCGGATAGACACCTTGGGGTCCCTGAGAGCCACCCAGATGAGCTCGAAAATTTGGGGGACAAATCCATAAAGAAGCGTTGGAGAACCTTTAGCAAGTTCGCGAATGACGAGTACCGCGGCAAAGCGTCTATTTTCCTGTCTTTCAGATTGAAGGCCCTCGAGGGCGGATTGTATTTCACTTTCGACCAGCTCCGCGGTGAGAGCTCCGCCCGGTTTAGCCAGGCGGCCCAGCGCCTTAGCTGCATATACCAGCACCGCATTGTCATTGCTGCGAAGAGCGCTGCGCAGGTAACTAGCAAATCGAGTCGTCTTCTGAGCTGCATCGACCCCGTCGAAATCTATCAGGCGATTCAGAGCCAGCAGGCCACCGATGCGTTCGTTTGCGTCACTGCCCGTAACGACGAGCTGCGCGATCCGTTGACTGACGGCATTATAGAATTCGAGGAACTTCTCCGGGGCCCAATCTATAAGAAAGGCAGAGTAAGCACCATGACGGGGAAGCGGTCAGGGTTTGTGGGGTCTACCTCGTGAGATGGCGAGGACATTGTCGTAGAGCTCATAAGCAGCTCGTGCCCGCGTCTCCTCGTTCTTGGACTTCAACTCGATGAAGAGTCGCTGAGTGACGTCCGTGAAAGGACCTGGTTGCGCCATTTTTGCGTAGCACACCCCAGGGTGGACATTTGAAGTCAACCTCTAGGGCATGTACGTCGACACGAAATGAGCATAAGAAAGAGTGGAGAGCGGTTGATGAGCAGACGAGGATGATGGATGCGGGAAACGGTGTTGTGCAAGTCGAAGGCCTGACGGGATCGTGCACGGGCCAGATTGGTTCACGGCCTGAGGCATGCTCTGCTTCTCCGCCTTGCTTCCTGAGGCCGCCATATCCATACTACATACCATTCAATCATTCACTCGGGCAATATCCAGCGTGATTGAGGGTTATTTTGTCCGCTATTCATCTGATGATCCGGGAAGTCTAAGATCTATCTGATGTTATGTACCAGTAGTCATTACTGGGCTCAGATATCTTGAACACATCACATAGTGTGCATGGCGTTGAACCCAATCTCTTATTGTATAGTCAACATTTCTTTGCATTACAATTTAGGCGCAACTAAAAGGTAAATTCTCATATAATTGTCAGCTAAATGGGGTTTCAAGCTTTCAGGCGGCTCTACAAGCTAAGTATGCCGACAGTGTGAAGTATATAACTGGCAAGGCTGCAAGAACTGCGGTTTTCATGAACCAAACAAATAATCCTAAACATGTCTTCTATGCAGTACTGTGTAGTTACTCGAAGTATTCAATATTTCTACGTTAGTTTACTGGTAAAACCTACAATTCAAGAGCCCCCACCTATTTAAAGCCGGTAAATGCCACGCCGTCAAGAGCATGGGCCCTGATAGACAATTCCCACTAAAACCGGCCTCTGCGGGTTTCGGGGATATGGCCACGCATCCCTGGTAGGCTTAAGCGCAATCCTTCCCCCGGGTACCGGGCTTAATCCTAATTCCACCAAGTAATTCCGTCATCAATTGACGCAAATATTGCCAATTTGTAATCATGCCGACAATATCCTATCACATCCGAATGATAGCTGCGATGGTGGACCATGGTGGGGTCGTAAGGAGGGGTATAGATACATGTTGGGAGAGCTATAAGAAGGTTGCTCACCTTGTCGCTCGAGGCTAATAACCATTCTAACGTCCAACTGACCGAGACCCTGATTCGTTATAAACACTGTTATTCGCAAATTCATCGCTCATCGCAAATATGGTCAAAGTTCTTCTTACGGGTAGGCAGGCGTCTATCAAACAATCAGATCCAAGTGGCCCTAACATTTATCTTCAGGAGGTAGCGGCTTCATCGCTGCTCACATTGTCGATTACCTATTGCAGCGGGGGTGAGCTCGCTTGACCATGAACAGCCTACCGTCGTTGGAGTGCTAATCAAATCTTTATAATAGCTTCGACACCGTGGTAACTGTGAGATCGGAGGAAAAGGGCCAAAAGATCCTTGAAGCGCACCCCGAGGCTCCCAAGGAAAAGCTGTCCTATGTCATCGTCAAAGATGTTGCGGCAGATGGAGCATTCGACGAAGTAAGTACTAGGAGATGCCCTTGTATGGTTCGTACACTAACGTCTTACTCTACCAGGCCGTAAAATCAAACCCTCCCTTTGACTATGTCCTTCATACCGCATCCCCCTTCCACTACAACGTCCAGGATCCCGTGAAGGACTTCCTAGACCCCGCCATCAAGGGTACCACTGGTATCTTGAAGGCTGTCAAGGCCTACGCACCCACAGTGAAAAGAGTCGTCATCACATCTTCCTTTGCAGCTATTACCAACGTCAAGAGCCACGCGAAGGTGTACAGCGAGAAGGTTTGGAACCCGGTGACCTGGGAAGAGGCTCTGGACCCTGCGCAAACATACCGAGCCAGCAAGGTAAGAGAGATCTGGTCATGTCGTATCAGCCAATACTAATACTTTAATAAAGACCTTTGCAGAAAAGGCCGCCTGGGACTTTGTCGAGAATGAGAAGCCAAACTTCGATATTGCAACGATCAACCCTCCTCTAGTATTGGGACCCGTTGTCCATTACCTGAACTCACTGGACGCCATCAACACCTCGAACTCGCGGATCAGCAACCTGATCCGCGGCAACGACAGGGACAAACTACCCCCAACAGGCACATTCCTCTGGGTGGATGTCCACGACGTTGCGTTGGCTCATGTGAGAGCCATTGAGGTTCCGGAAGCAGGGGGTCAGCGATTCTTCCTGACTGCCGGCTTGTATTCCAACAAGCAGGTTGTGGATATCATCCGAGAATCACACCCCGAATTGGAGGACAAACTCCCGCCAAAGGATTCTGCCGACGATACGCCGGCCGATGTTTACGGATATGACAATACGAGATCTATCGAGGTCTTGGGGATCAAGTACCGGTCGTTGAAGCAGTCTGTCGAGGAGACTGTTGACTCGCTTCTGGCGGTGGGTGCTTAATGAATTGAAATAGATACCTAGATAGTTAGTACATAAGAGCTCGCAGTTCAATGTGAATGAATATATGCAAATTGAGATGAAATAGGTTGAGGGAGCCCGAAACATCCTCGATAATCAATTAGAAAGAAAAGAAACACAAGCAAGAAGACTAAGGGTATACTCAGTAGACAACGCTGGAGCACAAGAGCTTCGCGTAAGGTGGTTGTGGTCCCCCGTACCGAAAAGTCTTGGCAAGCACTTAGTTATTCCGACGTCTTCTTCCAACTTTTCTCCAGCGTTCTCCGGAGGAAGAACTCAGCTTCCCGACCCTGCAATTGCCAATCGAGTCGCCATGGCCACCACCAGGCTATCGCCGACAGCAAACTTGCTACGGAAGTCTCGCCTTTTTGCACTTCCGCAAGCCTTGACGCCTCCTCAAGAACATCCATCCTCGAAGGGTCACCGTGATTCCGACACCGCGACTCTGCCTTATCCCATCCGGGCGTCCATTGTCACTCCGGCCTCGTCGCTGGCAAGGGGAGATTGGGGTTTGAAGCGACCGCTTCCTCAGAAGTCGACCTCTCAGAAATCTTCTCGGCCGGTTGTCCGAGTGAACGAACTCGACACATTCGAACATGTTACCGACTTCGAATCCGCGGCGGATCACACCGTGACTCTGGAGAAGTTCCAGGAACTCCATATGCCTATTTCGCTGCCGTCCAAGGTCAACTACGCTACCAGCATCGTACCTCGACATCAGAGTCCATTTGAAACTCAGGTCGATAACACAAACACCAGCAAGAACCTCGATGAACCTGGGGCCAAACAATTTAGACACTCTGGGCCTTGGCTTGCAGGTCAGTCGCAAGCGCAATTCGATGCCTACTTGAAGAAAGTCCGCGGAAACCGGCCGGAGCTTCTACAAAAATTGCGCGAGCGATTCACCGAGAAGCGAACTGCCGAACGAAGGAAGCAGGCTCAGGACAACGGAGAGGATCTCGAGAAGCTCGCGCCCGTTCAGGTAAGCGAGGAGGAGTTCCAAGCGTACCTGAAGTCTCTGCGAGCGGACCCATTCGCCCTCGGACCTGTCGTTTTCGAGCTCCTAGACCTCCCTTCTCCTCCCGCCGTGCCGAGCGACCGAATTGGGCAGCGATACTACCAATCCCCCGGCACCAAACTCTCGTCGGGCGAATACGCCGTGTCGGGACCTCCGAAGACGCATCCCTCCGCCGGTCTGTCATACTCGCGTTCGCATGCTTTGGTTTACAACCATCCTTCGTACGGTGCTCAGGTCTTCCAGCGCCCCGTCCAAGCACGTATCCTGCGGCCCAAGGGCAAGTTTAAGAACAAGACTGCCAAGGCCATTGCTGGTGTTGGTGGTATCGCTGTGGAGGACTTGAATGCCATGACCTTCATGGAGCAGGGCTCGCCTCCAGGCCTGTCTCATTACGACTCTACTATCCCTGGGGGTGCTAAGTACTGGGTCACTCCCATCCGAGCCTCGGTTGACTCTGACGGCAGGATTGGGTTGGCATCGTACCGTGCCAGCGCTACTGCAAAGGCCCCCTACCGCATCGAGGACTACAAGAAGCCAGGCGCTGTTTCCGAATTTGCCCGTGGCTATCAGCGTTTTGTCCCCAGGTTGGACTCAAACCGTCCCAAGACCGCTCGGCCACGGGAGTCGGCCACGGGATCCACCGAAGACATTGCGAGAAACCTCATGAAAACGCTCAGGTCTTAATGGAAATTGCGTGATTTCCAGATGTTTATTACCCTTTCTTGATGTTGATTGCATTGTTTTCGAGCAGAGTTCAACTGGTTGTATGATTAGATTCTTGGATAAATGTAAAGCTATTCCTTGTTCGCTTCCCTATCTTTTCTGTGATATGATGCACATCACCTGATTTTCCTTGTGTAAACTGAAAGTGAAGCGATGTGTTTACAATAAGTAGTAGCCCTCTGCAAAGCCTCGGGGAGTATTTCGATTTTCTTATAACACTCCGTACTATCAGTGTCTGCAACATTAGGATATCAACCTGAAACATCCCATCAGAATGGCCATTGTTTTTGTGAACTATCAATCTATGTGCTGTAGAAACTGGGTATCAATCAATTTGCCAACGCCTCAAATAAGAACAAACATCCTAACACCTGCGGCTAATCAATCTTTTTTGAGAAGAGAGGGGAAGTTCCAAGATTATCTAGGCGCATCTCAATGGTCCTTGGGCATATACCCTTCAATGGAACCTCCCTTATCATCCCCAGGGCGCATTTCTGGAGCCGTGACATTCCCATGGGAGCCCGTTTCCTTTTCTCGAATGTGAACCTCAACCCGACCCGCCTGTGATAACGAGGCCGAATCACCACGCTCCATGGCGAGTTCGCGAGACCGGGCGTCGTCGCGAATGGAGAGTTGTGCAATGTCTTCGGCCACATCATTTCCACTTTGCTCCGGGTCCATGTGGAGGTTATCAAGCTGGCCTGCGACCTCGTTGACGGTAGCTTTCGCTTTTCCTTTCCCTCGCTGTGCGGCTCTTCCTTCCTCCAGCAGAGCGAAATTCTTACCACGAGCATCATCGGCTCTTCTCTCCCAAACCGGCTCCTCGGCCAGCTGGACCCGTATATACATGGCTCTCTCGGCACACTCGTCCGAACACCACATTTCCATCTTTTCCCGCGGCACGATGTTCATGTCTCGTCCATGCCCGCCCGGTCCGCTGCCTTTGGCACCCCACTTGATGCGGAACGTCCCTTTGAAGTCGTCCTTTCGGTGTTCGCGAGGACATAGCGTATAGCCACAAAGACCCTCGATATTGCGCTCCAGAATCAAATTGTCATAATCGGCCGGCTGGAAAGGAACGAGAGCGGACTTGAATGTCTGGACATCTTCGGCCGATGGCGACGCAGGGTCTGCGGATGGCGACGGGGGAAAGGTGGCTAGTTCGAGAATGCGATCGAGGATGAGGGCTTCCGTATCTTTCTGCGCTTGAATCCGGTGTGCATGCTGCAGGGCAATGGCTAAATGACGAGGATCGGTGCCTGGTTTACCCTGCGACTGGGTTTTGGCTTGGTGCGACGCTTTGGGTTTCGATGGCGCACGGCGAGTGGTGGATTGGGCTGGTGGTGTCTTGGGGGCGGCCGCACGATGAGCGGAAGGAAGAGATGTTTTGAGTATTGACTGGTCGGAGGGCATGATCAAAGGATAGAGAGTTTGATGAGAAATGGTGGTGTCGGACAGAGGCGATGATATAATGAAGAAGGATGACGAAGTTTGGGTCAGACAAGGTTGCTCCTCTGTCTCTCTTTTTTTTCCGGGTCGGCCAAGAGACTTGGGAGCCCCGGATTGAATCCAGGTAGATGCAGTTTAGCTAGAAAGAAAAGGTACGCCAACTGGTCTGTCGGGGTAGATAATGACTATAAAAATATGATATGATATAATATCTCTTAATTGCTTCATGCACCTACTCAGGACTTTAGTGTACTGTAGTCTCTGTACCGCCACCGCAAAGGACTGTAATTGCGCTTCCTGTTCAATAATATTAGCCGCCGATCGCCCCCGTGGTGGAGCAGGTTGTCCCGCCAGAAGGTGACGACCTCACGACGGTTCCTTACGCCTCCGTGTCTCTTCCCTTCCTCTTCCCCCCTTCCCTTTCCTTCCCTTCCCTCTCTCTCACACACTTCTGTCCATCCTTGGCATTCGTCGTATTTTCCGCAACTGCTTCCTTCCATCATTTTCTGCGCCTGAATTTGGTAAGTGCCACAACTGTCCTTCTTTGCTGTCTCCACGAGGGGAAGCTTGCGGTGCCTTCCTTCTCATGCAGCGCACTCTCCCTCTGACGTACCCAACCCGACCACCAGGCTGACATATTCCACTTCCGACTGTTGATTCCTAGTGTCTAGCGTCCCTCTTCCAAATCCACACTTTCTCCGAAAACCACCTTTCGCGCATGTTTTTGTCCGTCGGAACCCACGTTATCTGGTGCTTCCCTGCGTGCAACTGCTACATTCTGGATTAATTGATTGCAACCTCGCCCCCTCCCGTCGGTCCCGCCCTCGGTCGCTGTCTTACAACAATCCCACGTTCGTGACAGGGCCCGGCTTGCCAGATGTCCAGCCCGCCGTTCACGGTCAGAGCGGTCTTCGAGTATTCGTCGAACCACGATGACGACCTAAATTTCGCAATCGGCCAGGTTATTACAGTCACCGAAGAAGAAGATGCTGATTGGTATTATGGTGAATATACGGACAGCTCGGGGTCAAAGGCGGAAGGCATCTTCCCCAAGAATTTCGTAGAGAAATATGAACCCCCGGCTCCTCCACGACCTACACGTCCGAGCAGGCCCAAGAAGGAATCCGAACCTGCCCCTGCTCCTGCCCTTGCTCCTCCGCCCGAGCCCAAGGCTCAGCCGGAGCCGGAGCCTGAGCCTGAGCCGGTACCGCAACCTGTCGCTATCGAGCCCCCTGCCCCCGAACCTCAATATCTCTCGGAACCTGAGACAGAGCCCGCTCCTCCGGCTGCGTCGGTAAATGCACCTGAACCGCCGCGGTCGCCGCCTGTTCCCGTGGAAACTCCGGTCAGTGAAGTTCCATCTCCACCTCGTCCGGTGCAAGCTTCGGTTCCGCAGCCGCCTCCGCAACCGCTTGTCACTGAAGCTAGCGAGCCGCCCGCTCCGAAGACATCGACGAAACCCCCACCCCCCGCCGTTGCAGAGAAGCCGACCGGCTCTTCCTTTAGGGATCGCATTGCCGCATTCAACAAGCCCGCGGCGCCGCCAATTGCGCCAGTCAAGCCTGGAGGATGGAGCTCCAACAGTTCGACCTCGTTCATCAAGAAACCCTTTGTTGCTCCGCCACCCAGCAAGAATGCTTACGTTCCCCCGCCGAGAGAAGCTCCTCAAAAGATTTACCGGAGGGAGGAGGATCTCGATGCTCAGGAGCCCGTGGCAAGGGAACCCCCCGTGTCTGAAAGCCGACCCGCCCCAACCGAGAATGCCGAAGAAGGGGCAGAGGACCAGCCCAAGCCAACAAGTCTGAAGGAACGGATTGCCCTTTTGCAAAAGCAGCAAATGGAGCAGGCTGCTCGTCATGCCGACGCGGCTCAGAAGAAGGAAAAGCCCAAGCGCCCTTCGCCGCAGACCCGCACAGAGTCCCAAGAAGAAACCGCGCCTGCCGAGGACCTCAGCGCCGAAAGGGTAGAGCCTCCCGATGCCGTCCGTGACCACAGCGTCGAAACTGTGAAACCCGGTGCACTTCCTGTGCCACAGCCAACAAGCCCTCCTGCCCCGGCACCGGAACTGGCGAGCGATACCAACGACGCTGACGACTCTGCTGCTGCTGATATTGAGGACGCAGAGGAAACGTCAACGAGTAAGGAGGATTATGATGATCGTGCGCGCGGTGAAACCCAGCGTGTCGCCCAGTCTCCTGGCGAGACAAAGGCGCCGGAACCTGTCAAACACCAAAAGCAGGAGGAGCAGCAAGAGCAGCAGCCGGATGAAGACGAGGAGGAAGAGGAGGAAGAACTGGACCCGGAAGTGAAGCGCAAGATGGAGCTCCGCGAGCGAATGGCAAAAATGAGCGGTGGAATGGGGATGATGGGTTTCTTTGGCCCTCCGGGTGGTATGCCTGCCCCTGGCGCAGCTCGTAAACCAAAACCGCCAGTGGAGCCCGAAAGGAAGACCGCGGAACCTGAAAGCCCCGGTCCATCTGCAGCACCACCGGTCCCTATCATGGCTCTACCAGGGATGAACACGGGCAAACCGGCAGCCGCTCCATCTGTCGAGAAAGACGAAGAAGCTCCTGCCACGCCTTTGACCGAGCAGCATCCGGCGCATGAGGTGCCTGACGTCGAAGAAGTTGTTCCGGAAGCATCTCCTCGACGCACCTCGTCTGACAGATTCCCCACTCAAGGTATGGATGGCTTGTTAATCCTCGAATATGTGAAGCCCGGCAACCTCAGAGCTGACGATATATCATCATATCCAGAACGACCAGTACCTCCCCCTCCCCCGATGGAAACACGACCTGTCCCGCCGCCTCATGCTCCTCAGGGTGCACCTGCATCCCCTCCGCCCGTGCCAGCTCGTAAGTTAGAGGATGATCTCCATGCCCAGTGCCAGTTTAACTGATCCCTCGGTTATAGCCCGCCCCGTTCCTCCTCCTGCTAAGAGCACCACATCCGCGGATCCTGGTGAGGACTCGGACGATGAGCTTTCTGTCCATGCACAGAACTTGTCTTTGAACGCAGTGGCGTCAGACCAGTTTGCGCCTCCGCCTGTGTCGGCGCCCCCAATTCCTGACCATATTGATGCCCGCCGCCCGTCGACATACGAAGTTTCGTCTCCAAAATCCCCCACCCTCCCTTCGGAGAAGAGACTTAGCCGCCCCCCGCCTCCGCCAGTGCCAACAAGTCCGCCCATGTCGCCGCAGAATAGACCTGCTCCTCCGCCGCCTCCAGGCGATATCCGACGTCGATCAACCGCAGATAGCCGGATCAGTATCCTTTCGCAGCCCCGCCAAGCGGGCGATGACGCCGAGGGCGAAGTGACGGAATATGACGGGGATTATGATACGGATATAGCATCTGGTGCAAAATTCAAGGATGCACTGAAGGCCCATGGGCGGGATTCGAGCGTCGACGAAGGCACTATAACTGACGATCACTCCCTGCAATCGCCCCGGAGCCCTCAGGAAACGCGCCTCCCACCGCCGCCTCCTCCGTCCGCCCCTCGTGCAGTCCCACCGCCGCCGCCTGTCCAGCCACCCAAGAGTGCCGGTAGTGCCGGTAGAGCCTCGCTGGAATCACCCAGGGGCCCTCCACCTCCCCCGCCTCACATGGACTCATTCCACGGGGACGACGATGAATACGATCCTTATCGCTACACCGCCCCCCAGCCTGGACTGCCGCCACCTCCAAGGGCACCCCCTGTACCCGTCGGCCGACCAGAAGTTCCGCCTAGCATTCAACCGGAGCACGTCGCAGATGACTCGGATGATTTGTACGATGCGTCTCCTGTTCATGCTCCTCCGGAAGTGCCGCCGCCTGCTGCACCGACTGAGAAACGTACTTCTATGGCACCCCCACCTCCCAGTTTCTTCCCTCCTGCCCAACCACCTACCCCACGGAGCAACCGTGCATCCTTGGATATCCCTAGGGGAGCGCCCCCTCTCCGGAGATCTATGGATGTTGCCCGGCCTTCTATAGACCAAGGTTTCATTGCCATGGATGTTGATTTGGCTGAAGGCACACTGTGGTGGAGCCAGCCATCGACGCCTCCACCCGCTCTGCAGAATCGCAAGGACCTCTTCTTCGAGGTTGAGGAGTCGACCTCTTCGAAGCGGGGAGGCAAGGCCACAATCACGAAAGATGTCTATGTCTTGTTCTTGGATTACTCGCAGACAGTAATCACAGTGACCTACGATGCTCGCAACCCCAGCGATGCATCTTTGGAACAACGTCATGAGGGTCCTCCCCTTCAACCCCGTCAAGATCAGCTGGAAAACGCTCATGTCCAGATTGGAACTCGCATCTCCAATGCTATCAACGGAATTCAAAATACCACGGTTGCGGACGGCACCCCGTTCGGCCTGGTTCAGCATTTGCTTAACCCTATCAAGGACGCTTTGCGCCCTGTTGGAACCCGAGCTTACGGTGCTTTGGTCTATTCTAACCTGGCCAACGCCTCAGTGCAGCAGAATGACGAAATCCGAGCGGGCGACATTGTCAGTTTCCGTAATGCACGCTTCCAGGGCCACCGTGGTACGATGCATCAAAAGTACAGTTCTGAAGTGGGCAAGCCGGATCATGTCGGCGTTGTTGTCGACTGGGACGGAACCAAGAAGAAGATCCGAGCGTGGGAGCAGGGCAGAGAAAGCAAGAAGGTCAAAGTGGAAAGCTTCAAACTCAATGACCTTCGCAGCGGTGAATGTAAGGTTTGGCGAGTAATGCCTCGCAGCTGGGTTGGATGGGAAAGTTAAGGACGAAACCTTTAATGCATAATGAGCTTGCGACGGTCTTCCTGCGCAGATGCGGTTGACCCGCTGACGAAGAATCCTTTGTGGACCAACTATGGTCTATAATTTTCTTTCCATTTTCGCTCACCTCTGTCTCTCTCTCTCCCTCTTGACATTTGTCCTTCCCCCTTACCCTTGAACCATGTTTATGACAACGCAGACGGCTGAACCGAAGATGAGTAAATGATTCGACTCTGGTATATTTTAATTTCGCATGGTACATGATCTGCAATCGGGCTTACGAGATTCGCTGCGTGTGCACGCCTTGCCTTCTCTGTGTTTTGTTATCTGCTTTTCAAATAATTACTTTTCTCGTATGTATCTACTGATGCCTTTTTTTTTAACTTGTTTCGTTTATTCCCTGTAACGGTGACTGTCTCTCGTTTCCCTTTCTGTCTTACCTGGCGGCTTTCAGATATACAATTATCTTCATTTCCACGAGATTTCGAGGTAGTATAAACCGTAGACGTACTTACTCGGTTGTGGGTGCCTCAGGCATAAATGGCAACAACGTCGGCCCGGTGGCGCTTTCCATTTCGGGAATTATTCACTGTACCCATCGGGCAGGTGCAACCAACCTCCACCTCTCTTTCTTTGCCAAGTACCAACTTACCCTCACATTCTCCCGGTCGCAGCTTGCCTGCAATAAACCAAAGTCAAGATGGGTGGCGATCTCAACTTGAAGAAGTAAGCTCCCCCGTCTCCCTCGACATCTATTCAAAATCTCACATACTGACCCGCATCTCGCAACCCATAGGTCATGGCACCCCTCGCTCCTGCGCAACCAAGAGCGCGTGTGGCAAGAGGAGAAGCGCGCCTTGGAAGAGCGCAAACGCATCGACCAGCTCCGCCGTGAACGAGACGAGGAGCGCCAAATCCAGGAACTGCAGCGTCTGCAGGAAGACTCGGGGAAGGCGCGCCAGCAGAACCGCGTCGACTGGATGTACCAGGCGCCGTCGAGCGCGACGGGTCACTATTCCGAAGAGATGGAGGGGTATTTGCTGGGCAAGCGTCGGATTGACGGCATCTTGTTGAAGAATGATGATAGCAAGAAGTTGGAGAAGGGTGCTGAGGTGGGCTCCGGGCAGGTACCCGCTGCGCCGCCGGTTCAGAATGCCCGGGATACGATGTCGAAGGTCATGGCGGATCCGTTGTTGGAAATCAAGAAGAGGGAACAGGCGGCTTATGAGAACTTGGTGAAGGAGTCGGCGAGGAGGGGTGCTGCGGTTGCGGAGGGGTCTGCTGCTTCCCGGGGCGGAGGGAGGGAGAGGGATGGGGATCGGGAGCGCAGTCATAAGCGCAGAAGGTATAGTGATGAGGAGGACTCACATCGGCGTCATCGTCATAGATCGCATCGGCATCGCTCGAGATCTCCGGAACGGTCGCATCGGAGACACAGAGATGATCGCGACGACCGGGACCGCAGAGACCGTGATCGCAGAAGTGATCGAGATCGGAGGGAGGAACGTGATGGTCGAGACCGCCGGGACCGTGATGATAGAGACCGCAGGGAGGATAGAGAGAGGAGGGATCATCGCTCGGACAGACATAGGGACCGCGAGGGAAAGTCCGACCGTGCTCCGCGACGTGGCTCCTTCCATGATCGATCTCCCTCACCTCAGCCTGATTACCGTCACCCAGACCGCCGCCACGCAGAGGAGAGGGATTCCAAACCTCGCAGGGATTACCGCGGGGAGGACCGAAGGGACAGCAGGCCTTACCGCGACAATGGCAGAAACAACCGTGGCCCCAGAGACTCGCACCCTCGAGACCAAGATTCCAGACCCGGACCCGATGCAGCGGAGCAAGAAGAGATTCGGAAAAAGAAGCTCGCCGAGATGATGGACAACGCGAACGATATGGAACAGACTCGTCGCCAGCGCATTGCCGAAGTTACGGCCGAGGAGGAGAAGCAGCAGGAGCGAGACGACAAGCAGCGATCGGAACGGGGTCGTTTCGTCTCTTCGATGCATCGACAACTGCAGGAGGACAACCTGGATGAGCGGATTCGCCGCAACCGTGGTGGATTGTCTCGGATGGATGATGATTGAGCTTTCTCCTTTCGAGCTACCTTTGTCCCATTCTGCAGTCTGCAGAGGTCTCGCTCTTTCTTTCCTTTCTGTTTTCGTCTTACCTGCTTTTTGCGTCATACCTCTAGCGTTTAACAGGACAATATCCAACCATTAAAGCACATACTGCATCAAATGGAAAACTTGTGTTTTGCTGTCTACTCAACAAAGACAATTTGTGTTCTCTGTAATGTATATTCCATTATACTACTGCTTTACGAAACATAAACCTATGCATTAAATACAATACAGTAAAAACACAATGACCAAATAGAATGATTCAAATATAGAAGAAAAATGAGGTATCACAAATTCCTGCGATGAAAGGGGAGTATCGCTCGAGTGAATCAACCAAAAGGATACCCCTCCTCCGTCTGCAGAGCTGAGAGAGAAAATGGACAAAAAAAAAGTCTATACAATAACAAGGAAAGTATAATCACAGTAACAACAGCTCTCCCGTAGCTGCCCCGCCGGCCAATTGAGGTTGATACACTGACTGCTGATTCTGATTCACGATGTACTGCATCTGCGAGGCGCCACCGCCGCCGGCACCGCCGTCGCCTCGACCGCCTAGATCTAGCGCCGCCATCTGCTGCGTGCCCATGTTGTTGAAGTAGTTGTCGGCCGCGTTGACCGCCGCGTTCATGTCGCCCGGTGGGCCCAGGTCGGAGCCGTTGGTCGGCGACGTCGGCGTTCCCGAGGCAGCGGCAGTGGCAGAGATCGCGGCGCCGGCAGGGGCGCCTCCTTGCGGAGTCGGCGCTGGGAACTGGAAGACGGTGCTGCCGCTGTCCTCGCGCGGTTTCTGCAGCGCGGGACTGTACTGGAGGCGGCGGGTGCGGGCGGAGCGGAAGACCTGCTGCACGGGCTTCAGGTAGACGGTGGCGAGGGTGCCGACGTTCAGGCAGAGTTCCTCTAGGGTGCGCGAGTCGAGTTTCTCGCTCTCGGCGCTGATGGGCGGCTTCTGGCCCATGACGACCTGGCGCGCGGTGGCCGGGTCGCTGGACAGCAGCCGCCAGTACATGTAGCCGCGATCGCGGAGGTCCGGGTCGTCGGTCTCCTCAGTGCACCATTTCAGGACCTGCGGCACGAGCTGCTGGCCCTTGGTGGGGCGCTGGATGAAGAATTTCACCGTGGCGGTCAGCAGCGCCAGCTGCACCTCGATGGTCTCGTCGTGGAAGGTGGCCAGGTAGTCCTGCAGCAGGCCGTCCGAGTTCTCGATGCGGTCGGCGTACTGGCCGATGATCCAGATGATGGCGGCCTTGGCCTCGGGCTCGTCCAGCTCGTCGATGTTCTGGATCACCTGGCCGATGATGCTCTCGTACTGGTTAGGGTACTTGCGGAAGATGTTGCGGATGACCACCGTGGCTTCCTGCACGATGTAGGGGATTTTGGCGTTAACCAGGTCAAGCAGAGTGTCGATGCATTGCCGTGCCGCGGACTCGATCTTGATGGCGAGTTTTCCAATGGCGCGGACGGCCTTGCGCACGAAATGTACGTCAATTTCGGTGGCGTATCTAGTCTCAGTTAGTACCAAAATGCTCGAGAGGGTGGGGGTACTACATACTCTCGCAGTTCTGCCAGAACGACAGAGATGTTCTCCTTCGTGGTCAACATGAATATAAGTTCCAGCTTGGTGACCTTGACGTAAATAGGATCGTTGTAGTTGCAGAAAAACACCCGAATATCGTTCCGTAAGACCTCAGGTCTCTTCTGAAGGATGAGAATGGCATTTCGGAGCGCCAGATACTGGACTTCTGGGGGTTTCGACAAGAGAGTGACGAGTGGGGGCGAGAGCTTTTTCGATAGTGAGGTAACATGTCTTTCGTCGGCGATGTAGTTCATAAGGTAAAGGATGACACGGATTGAAGTGAGGACGACGGCGGAGTTGGAGTGGGAAAGACGGGGAGCGATTCGTTCTGCGAGCAAAAGGGCCTCTGCCGAATCTTGCGGGACGTAGGACATTAGAGCCTCGAGAATGTAGGACTGACCCCATCTATGCAGAGTTAGCCTGGCTCAGATATCATAAAGAGCTGGGAGCATACTCAGAGCAATCCGGTAAGATCGAAACCAATTTCGAGGCACTCGTGTAATCGATCGTCAGAGAAATGGTTTCACTCCGGCCCCAGATATCCACCAGGGAAGCAAGGACGCTGGAGACAACCGTCGGATTCTCATCCTTCAGCATCTGATTCAACCGATCGATCAAATCGGAGGCCTCGATCATCTTCTTGTCATGTTCATAAAGCTTGGCGACGCAGAACGCGGCGGTTTTGCGAACGTAGGGATCCATATCTCCCATTAACCGCTTGACAGGCTGGATTGTCGCCTCGACATACTCGCGGACGTGCACGTATGAGATAGTCCGCAGCGCGAGAGCACGTACTAGAGGGTTCGAGTCCTCCATGTCCTATTTAGCCCGGGCGTTAGCCAGTTCCACATCAGATGTGTAACCGTTCTCTTACATTGACCAAAATGGGCAGCGCCTTCAGTGCAATTTCCGGTTTCATTCTCGAATAGTTCACCAAGAACAAGAAGCACCTGTTATCCTCCGAAAATATAACATCAGCGGCCATTCCTTCATTGCGGGTGTAGCGGACGGCAGATCTTCTGCGACGTACATCTTCTTGATTTCCAAGCTCGGTAGGTTCATACATCCGATCACATCTGGAAACAGGCCGACCATATCGTTGTTGCTCATAGTCATGTTCGCGACAATCTTCTTCAGAGCGATCTTCTTGGCGGAGAAGTTCTTGTCCTTCTTGCCGCCGCTGTTGAGTTCCTGTCGCAACTCGGCGACTTTGCCCTGTCGAGATCGAGAGAATTGTAAGCCATGAGTCGCATAAGGGGCGATACTGATGAACATGGAGAAAAAGAGCGTTTGAAGATGGAGAGGGATGTAGGGGAGTTGAATGGAGACCTTAGATGAGAACAAACGATAAAAGGCACAAAATGGGGTAGGGTATCACAAGACGCAAGGAGAGATGGGTATGAGATCCTTTCGGTGGAAGCACTAGATCCATGACCAAGAATGGGACGATCGGTATGAGGGGAAGGATGGGGGGGAGGAGAGGAGGGGAAGGAAAGGGACCAAGCTAGATAAGAGCGGCGCGACAAGGCCTGGACAAGAACGTACCCTGGCGAACAGCTTCGCATCTCCCCCGCTGGAACTCATGGTGGGTGGTGCTCGGACGACGGACGACAAAGGATCGGCTTGGTGCTCGTTTTCCTCTCCGAGTCTAATGTCTTAATTTCTTCCCCAATGCAGGCTGGTGTTGGTTCTTCTGGTATTGTATCCGATCCCCGGTCACATGGAAGGGCAGGTCTGGCGCAAGGACGAATAAGAACAGAGTCGCGGCGAAGAGCTTCGAAGGAACGATTCTCTTAGCTGGCACGCTCCATGCAGGCCCTGGTTCCGCCGGGGTTGGTTAACGACATTTGGGGAATGCAAGGGTCTAAGGGGCCATGCGGACGTACCTGGACTCGAGTGTAGACGCCGGACTTAATCTCCAGAGCTGAAGCACGACGTTGAACTGAGCAAGAGGCGAGAATCGAAAAAGGAGAAAGTCTTGGGTGAGAATCAGGAGTGGATCGGGGTTACCGCCGCCTCCGCGCGCTTGTGGAGAAATTATTCCCTATCGTCATTCATGTTTGCATCCGTCCTTCTTCTCTTCCTCTTGACTTCCCCCCTCGTTCTAGCTTATTTTCCGCCAAAACTCGTTCGGTTCTTGGTTCTGTCTCTTATCTCAACTTCATCTCATCATGACCTCCCAGCCCTTGCCCCCAGTTCCTCCCCCGCAATGGGTCGTGGACCTGAATTCCCCCAAGCCACGTTCCCCCAAGTCCGCATCCAGCATCCCCGACCCTCCAGGGTTCTCCAGTCGCAAGGAAGGAGGCAAGAACGTACGTGACCGACTTATTCTCATCAATATCTCCCAAACTGTTCAGTTTCCTCCGATCTCTCACTAACACCCCTGTCCGATCAGCGCTCGCAGCAACAATCAACATCCTCCTCCGCCCCATCCAAACCCGTCGAAACCGACACCCTCAAGCTGAAAAAAGCCTGGGAGATCGCCCTCGCACCCTCCAAGCAGATCCCCATGAACGCGATCATGATGTACATGTCCGGCAACAGCCTCCAGATCTTCAGTATCATGATGGTGTTCATGCTCTTCAAGGGCCCCATCCAGGGTCTGATCAACACCAACAGCGTCTTTGCCAAGTTCGAGACGGACGGCACAAAGGGGAAACTGCTCGGCGTGAAGGCGATGTATGTGCTCATGCAGTTGGTTTTGCTGGCGCTGGGCGTGTGGAAGGTTAATGCGATGGGTCTGCTACCGTATGTTTACACTTGGTCTCTCTTCTGTTGGATTGTTGTTGCGGATCGGTTTGCTAATTTGGGTTCTTGGGCAGGACTACGAGGTCGGATTGGTTGGCTTGGGAATCGGAACGACAACCGGTGGAGAGGGCGTATTTTGCGTTAGGTTGATGGGTTACATGCAAGGAGAGGAGTAGGGCACACCGGTTGATATACCAACAGAAACATGAATACGGAATGGAATGCCCGTTGGGCAATATGTTGGTTCTCAGTAGTTCATTGGATTTAATAGCGTGTGTACTTGTATATTGACAGATATATGATACGAAGGTTCATACCGATCAGCTTCTCGTGATATCGCACTCATCGCTGCATCTATTTCATTTACAGATCCATGGTCATTCTTGCAATGTTATGTATACAGCCAAAGCGTCGCGTCTGGGTAACCCTCACAATCGAACCCCTCGAGAAAAAGGGAACACCATCAAAGCATGCCTCGCAGCTTATTTCCGCGCGTTCACAGCCTTCCGGCAGGCATCATAAAACACCTGGCAGAACTGCCACACGTCCACATAAGTGTTATATAGAGGTGCTGGTGCAACCCTAATCACGTCTGGTTTCCTCTCGTCAATGACGACCGCATGTTCTTCCAGGACCTCCAGGACGTGGTCCAAAAGGCCGGGCTGCAGCCGCAGACTAAGCTGCGCACCGCGCTCTTCCGGGTTTGACGGAGTGATGATAATGAACGGCTTCTCCTCGGGCGGTGCATCAAGAGGGTAGGTCAGAAGCAGATGCTCCAGATACCCCGTGAGGTCTAGGGACTTTTGGCGAATCTCGGCCATGGATGTGCGGTTGAACAGCTCAAGTGAAGCAGCTACTGCGTTGATATCCAGCACGGATGGGTTGGATACCTGGTATCCTGCTGCGCCTGGCTGGGGCAAGAAGTCTACACAGATTAGATTCGGACTCGTTCATTTATCACAGTTCAAGGAACGGGCAGCATCGCTTACTATTGTTCATAAGAAACCGGGTCTTCTTGTCTCCTCCCCACCAGCCCGACAATCGGGGTCGAAAGGGTTCGCCGTCCCCATCAGCGCGGTCCATATCCACTTGACCATGTCTCTCGTGGACAAAGATACCGGCCATGCCACCGGGTCCGCTGTTGAGGTATTTGTAGTTGCACCACGCCGCAAAGTCTACATTCCAATCGTGCAGGCGCAAGTCGACATTGCCTGCTGCGTGAGCGCAGTCCCAGCCCACAATGATGCCCTTGGACTGCGCGTGCGCGGTGATCTTCTCGACGTCAAAGTACTGGCCGGTGTAAAACTGTACTGCGGAGAGAAGGAGGACAGCAGTACTCGAGGCATTCTCATCAATAACTTGGAGGATTTGCTCCGTCGTTAAAATCGGCCGATCAGTGTCCTTGGGCTCGATGAGAACCAAGGCATCCTTGGGGTTCAAGTTGTGATGCTTGATTTGAGATTCAACGGCATACTATACTCTATATATTAGCCGTCTAATTATCTTTTACGGTTATAAGCCAAACTCAAAACCTACATGATCACTCGGGAAAGCCTTGCCCTCGATAATGATCTTGTATCGGTCCCGGGTCGGCTGATAGAAGCTTGCCATGAGAAGATGCAGATTAGCCGTCAGGGTGCCCATGAGCGCCACTTCGCTCTGGAGGGCCCCCACGACCGGGGCCATGAGCTTTGCGCCGGCAACGTCGACGTCGACAAACGGCGGCAGGAGCTGGTCATCATGGGGTGTAAAATGACCGGTGACGCCTTTCAAGGCCCAGGTCCGCAGATAATGCTCAATGTACTTCCGCGTGTTGCGAGGCTGCACTCCAAGAGAGTTTCCGCACAGGTAAATACATCTGGAATCGGCAGCGTCGTCAAGGGCTATATTTTGGTGAAGGTTAGCGGGGTAATACACAACACCGCTTTACGAGTTCTAGATGAACGTACGCTCGTCAACGGCTAGGGTGTTTCTCTTCAGATCGGATTTTGAAGGAATAATGAATTCATTTCGGAAATGATGGAGCGGGTCTCGGGCGTCGAGAGACTCGGCATATTCCTTGGTGAAAGCCCTGATATCGTCCTTGTAGGGAAGTGGGGGTCGGTTTTTGATGTCTCGGACCTGGAAGGCCATACTGAGTCTGACCTGCGGGGATATAAGAATAGATGTGATCACTCGTAATATGGAGTAAGGGAGAGTGATGGTGCTGGGATGAAGACCGGATGTGATTGCCGCGGTGGCGGAAGTTTCTACGTTGCGAGAAGACAGCGGTTGTTGCCGGGAGGAACTGTTGGTCAAAGCCGTGATGGGCTTGGTGGTTTAAACCCCGTAATTTGTATAGGATCAAGGAAATCCCCCAATTTGACTACCTCCAGAGAAGAATAAGACATGGTTTGTTCTACGGCGGGGTTGTTCTACATAATTATCCGCTGTAGGCTGCCCGGCTACCGCACGTCATAGGTATCTACAACATTTGTAGGAAACATGGAAGACACTGCCTTCTGAGCGATATCCTATGCGAATAGCAGCCGATGACTCCAAATGTCCAGATACTCCCCGATCCACTGCATATAGATGGGAAACAAGGTTATGGCGTCGTGGCGTTTCTGCGTGACCACTCGGGCAATTTAAACTCGAACTGGATGAGTTTACTTGGTCTGGTTGTTATTTCCCATGTTTGTGCTCTACCCGTGCAAGTGTTGGGCAGCCTGCAGCAGAGGGAGGGAAGACAAAAAGCACATGAGTAACTGTAGGATAGAAATATAGAAGTATCGAAGGACAAGAGTAGAAGAGAAAAGCCAAAGAGAAAAACCCCCGCGATGATCGGCGTTGATTCTGCCGTCTCTTTCCGAGGCCCGTCGGCCAATAACGTCATGCGCAACCCTCTGACTAACTTGATATATAATCAGTTCCTCCATTGCCCGGAAGTTCCAAGGTGCCTCCAGGACTTTGCTTCGGACAACTATTCTTGAATCCTAAAAGCGGTCCCGGTCGCAGTGATGTCTTGTCCGATAGTATCATCTGCCGCCCGCCGGCTAACACGAACACCGTCTCGCCCGGTAATCTCTGCCCTCTCGCCGTCGAGACCGGCTTGGAGCACCTTCTCCGCACGCTTTTGCGACTCGGCCTCCCCCCGGCCACTTCTGCCTCAGATCGTATCACAGAAGACCCAGATCTCTCGAAATGTCTCCTTGCGGAATGCTACTCCCTTCCTCACGCCCCGTCACCGTCGCGCTTTTTCCGCCTCGACTGTCCACCGAGCGACCCAGGCGACGCTTAACCCGAGAACCGGCGAAGATGGCAATACATTGATGGTGGAAATCTCGCCTCGTGCTGCAGAGGTACGTTCATTGCCTGGTTGATTTTCGTTTTGTTCAAACACAATGCGCACAAATGACCGTGATGGCTATAATCTGCTGGTATGGACGAGGAGGCAGTTTGTTGCACTACCCTGTGGCAAGGACTCCGGACAACCATCTCCGAATGATCGGGAAACTGCAAAAGTTGTCCGCGATAAGAGCCCCGACATGGTTGAAACAAGCACATACGACCACAGGGTGTGGAAAACAGGGCTTCCCGTCCGCTCAGCCGTACTTAAGCCACACGCCGGCCGGTTAGTAGTTGGGTGGGTGACCACCAGCGAATCCCGGCTGTTGTATGTTTTTCTTTTTCTTTTTCTTTTCTTTTCTTTTTTTTCTTACTTTTTGATTATTTTGCTGTCTTATGTTTCATTCATTGTTCTAAACACACCCCCCAACAATATACCTGTTACTAAAACCCAGCTAATCATCTCCATCACAGCGCCTCCGCGAAATCACCGACCCGTCCTCCTCCCCATCCGCCACCAAAGAGGAGAACCCGTACCACCATCTCCGAATCACCGTGACGAGCGGCGGCTGCCACGGCTTCCAATACATGATGTCGCTCGAGGCGGCCTCGAAGATCGACCCCGAGGAAGACACCGTCTTCGAGGCCGAGTACACGCCCGAGGAGGGATCGCCTCAAGGACCCGGCGACGCCAAGGTCGTTATGGACGAGCCCTCGCTGGAACTGCTGTCCGGGAGTAAGGTCGACTATACGATGGAGTTGATCGGTAGCCAGTTCAAGATTGTGGATAATCCTCGCGCGACGAGTAACTGTGGTTGTGGGACGAGTTTTGATGTTAGTGATTAAATTGGATCGGTCGAATCTGCGGGAGAAGAAAGTGATTCCTCTTTTGATATTGTACCATATTTATCCTTTTGCATCGAGTATAGATAGAGTAATGCCTACTGTGTATACCCCCCTCATGTTATTACTACTTCTGACTTCCTACGTCCTACGTACAAACTGATGGATCGGTGTATTTAAAATGATAAATAAGTCATCATCTATTTCATCATGCGAACAACAAATTCTACCATATCATCCGTCCTTTTTTCAGGCAAACCCTCTCATGCTCACATGGAGCATCGATCAGATATGCCGGAACAGAAACAGTAAAACAAACCAAGCACAAGCATTGAATACGCCCCAAACAAGCCTCGAGATTCAATTCGAATTTTGTATGCTCTCCCAGACCTGTAAACCAGAGCAGGTCCAGGCTCGCACAGCCCTGAGAGTAAAGAGGAGAAAAATATAAAGGGAAAAGGGAGAAAAAAGCATGGACAATGAAAACCATAGATAAGATTAAAACAGAAAGAAAGCAAAAAAAATTCATAATTTTGATGCTGTGAAGGTAGGAGAAAGGATGAGAGGTGGAGAGAGATTGTGCTTGTGCGATCTAGCACCATGACTCTCTGTTTTTGTCCTTGACACCGGTCATTGTGGCTCTTCCCCACTAGTGATCTCCAACCTGCAACGTCCAAGACTCCCCGAGCTTTTGAGCAGATGATGGGACAAACCAGACTGGTGTGCCCGACGGCTTCCCCCGCTTGGGAAGTCTTACTTTCGAAAATGGTCCGTTTATAAACATGACGCGTCTCTCATTTTTTGGCCACTCGCGCACGATCTCCGAAAAAAAATGGTATTTGGGAGGGGACCGGTTTAGTACACACGGGCGAGGTTGCGCAGGTACCAGTCAACCAGGCGACGTCCGGCCTTGGTCTCGCTGACGTGGATCAGGTCGTTCTCGAGAGCGTAGTCCAGGTCGTTGGCGCTCACCGGCTCACCCTCCAGGAGGCCACCCTCGACCCAGCGAACCTGGCGGCTACGCTGCTTGTTGACCAACAGCCAAGAGCGGAGCTTCTCGGGCTCGACCTCGAGGAAGCCGGCCAGCTTCTTCAGATCCATGGTCGTATAGAGCTTCAGGTACGAGCGGATCGTGGGGTTGAAGATGGTGTTCTTGACCTCATCCATGAAGATGGCGGTGTGGTGGTCGACGGGGTCGACGTTGACCGACGGGTTGTCGAAGTCGGGGGGAGTGGGGCTGATGAACTTGGGGCAGGCGGAACGGAAGAGCTCCTCGAAGAGAGGAAGGGCGTCGGGACCGCCGTGCTGGAGACGGATGAGCTGCTCGCCGTACTTCTCACGCAGAGCGGAGTGGATGGTGTCGTCGAGACGGGTGGGGTGGAGAGCAACGCAGATGGCGATCAGGGCGTACATCTGGTCGTTCTTCTTGGCGATGGCGTCGTAGCTGTTACCACCCTTCTGGAAGTTCTTGGTCCGGGAAACGTAGACCAGGATGTGGCTGAACATGCGGATGGCGTCGCCGTAACGGCGCATCATCATGTACGAGAATCCCACGTAGTAGTAGGTGGTGAAGTGGGCAGCCATGACACGGGCGAACATGGCCTTCTTGTTCATCTCGATGTCATCGAGGGTCTTGAGAGCCAGGCTGAAGTCTCCCAGCAAGCAGTGAACCCGCAGCAGACCGATGATCGAGAAGTATCCGAGCATCTTGTACAGGGGCCGCGAGCCGTATTCTCCGGCAAAAGCCAGGGGGTCCTCACCACGCTTCATGGCAGCCAATTGCTCGTTGATCTGCGAACGCTGGATGAGAGAGTAGAGGACGTTGAGTACGGAGTAGCAGCCCCAGGTGTTCGGGTTCTCGCGCAGAAGCTGGGCCTCCTCCTCGTTGGAGCCGCTGCGGGCGACGCGGTTACGGTAGCGGCAGAAGGACTCGAACTGGTAGATGAACTCGTCGATCACATCCCAGGCCCAGTAGTACTATTCGTAGACAAGGAGCCAATTAGCATAATCCGATTCAAACCAGCCCACCGCACACATCGACAGCGGGTAGACCGAGCACACACGCCGGGATCCAAGCCAACTGCCGTAATTCATAGGAAACCTCGGGGGATACAAAAAAACATACAGAAGGAACCTCCAATTCCACAGGGCCATCCGAGTTGAGGATGTAGTGGAACAGACTGCAGTAGTTGTCGTAGCTTGCGAACTTGGTCTCCAGCGTAGCCTGGTATTCCAGCGGGGTGGCAGCAGCAGCGAGTTGAGCCTGGAGATCCTGGGTCTGAGAGCCACCTCCCAGCGACGTCGTGCGGTCCAGCTCACTCATGCCATCGTCGAAGTTGACCTGCTCGCGGTAGTCGTTGACGAGCGCTTCCTCCTCCACATCGGACTCGTCGTTCAGGTTGGGGTGCGCGTTGGCGCGCTCTTCGTAGGACATATTGGCAAGAGAAAAAAAGGGGTCTGCCGGGAATCAAGAACTATATCCAGGAGTCGGTCAACTGGGAAGGTCGGGGTGGGACAGAGCGCGTCGTTCGGCGTGGCTCTTCGGCGTCGGGGGTGTGGGATTTCAATTGTTTCCGCATCGAATTTTGAGGGTTTTCGCTTGGACGGTTTGTGCTTATCTTATCTGTGCATAAACGGGTGGGCTGAGTCATCTATGCAGGGATAAGTGCGGTAAGCCGATTTGGCGGAAGTTTTAGTGAGCGCCGCTTTCTTCTTCTTCTATACCAGCACGTTGATTGGAATTGGCTCCAATAAAAGAAGACAGGATTTTACATCGAGGTGCTATACGTCCCGTCCATAAGTCAAGTAACTGCAGGCTAGTCCACCGAGGCATCATTGGTGCCGCTCTACCGGAATCGTTGCATTGCAAAACCCTTAGCCATAGCTACTACTTACGACTACAGCAACGAAGAGCAATTACTATCTTGCATGGAAATGTGCACATGGATCATGCAGTGTCAATTTCGCGTGATATCGAGAAGAAAGCCTGTAGTAGAGAACCAAGAGCCAAGCCCAAGTAGAACATGATCATCGGGCTGGCTATTTCGCAGACACTAGACAGCTTCATCGTCTACCTAATTGGTCACCTCGCCTTGTAGTTTGGGGCTAATGTTGCCACTGGGAGAGAAAATCGTCTCAGGCGGGATATTGGACAGGAGAAGACCGGCAAATCGTTGCCCTCCCCCATTTCAAAGACAGGAATGCTCGCGGACTCGAGTGAACCGAGCAGCATACCAGAGACCATCCAGATGTGTTGTCCTGGCCAGCAGCACGAGAGTGTGGCCAGTCTCAGTAAAACCCAGTAAACACGCCATGGTGAATCAGTTGCCCGTCACCGTCTAGCGGTGGCAAACGGTAGATCGGGGCATGACGCTGGCAAGGAATCAGGATTCTTCGGTACGGCCTCTTAAGGCAGGCAGACCGGAACTGCCCATCATTCCTGACGGGCCATTGGCAGTCAGCCCCCGGAGAAAGTATCCATGCCACGCTGGACATATTACTGGTCACTGGGACCCAAATTCGCTCCAACCCCCTCCCCCCAGCGCCTGCCTGAAAGAGTCGTTAGTAGCCGCACCGGATCTTTGGGGGGAAATTGCCCGGTCCCTTTCATCTCTCCATTGCATACCTTACGCTTCAAGCAGACAGCCATTGTCCCGTTTCTTTTTTTCTCCTTTCCCTTTTCTCTTTTCTTCGGATCAGAATGAATCGACTGACATTCAATTCAAGTTCTAACTGTGTATCGTCTAATCCACAAACTGAAACAGTCATGCTCTGATCAGAGACCTTCGAGCTTCGAAGATCATTAATCTGCGACTGTTGGCGCCCGGAACTCTTCTCCGTTTTTTCATCCTACTACGCCCTATTCCTTCTCCCGCGGCCCTTGAGAGTCGGCATCCTGATCCTCGGGCGCGTTATACCTCTTCCCTCCCCCCTTAAACAAATCAGCAAAGTCGACCGAAAGGCAAGGGGTTAAGGGGCATGTTACCGTCAAGTTACAGCCATTGAGATGTCTCCAGCTCTTTGTGATCGAGCACGGCAATAGCCTCCGGGGGCAGTGCAATTTTCATCTGTCGGGCGGTTTTTTCGATCATGTGGATCATGGCTTGAGCCTGCGAGAACCTCTTGCTGAAGGCGACCAAAAACCGACACAACTCGATGAAGGATTCCTTGAGCTCTTCGTCCTCTAGAGCGGCCAGCAAGGCCAGGGCGCTTCTGTTGGTGGGCCCAAGCATCATTCGAGGCACATGCCGGAGCCCGTAAGACTCGTGATAAATTCGAAGGCAATGTGCGATCTGGTTCGCCGACTGCAGCTGGGCCAATCTGGCCTGCTCGATTTGGGCCGGCTGTAATGTTCTCTCTTCGTGGTCGAGGAAAAACCCGGACAGGTAGATGGTGGTATAATGGTAGTTGATACTGCAGTCCGCGTCAGGCCTATTGATTGACAAGCCAAGACAGGGGTCCGTCCTTACTGCATATACAGTATTTGCGGGATTTGTTCCTCGTCCACTTGCAAAGTTTCAGGCAGTCCTTCCAACCACGTCCCTAAACGAGTGTATAGATTGTTTGCCGCTGCCCACGTATCCTCCATTCGCCAGTCGAGCGCCTTGTCATATAATAAATCCTGGATCTCCACTACAATTTCCGTCAGGTCCGTCGAGTGAAACATGATTGACGCGAGCAAAGCCGGCTTTGCGTCGTAATCTATCTGGTTCGAACGAGGATAGGGTACCCATGCAACATCGTCATCGAGCCTGTTTCGGTTAAACGGCTTGAATCTGGGGCGTGCAAGGTTTGCGACTTTTCCGGATTCCAGGGAGACTTGACTGGTCGAAAGTTAGTCGGTGGATAAGCTGGACGTGTTGGACCAGACCATATGCTCACGAATTCAGGGCGAATAATCCCCAAGCAGTTACAACCCCGGCATACTGCACATCAATGCGTGTCTTCTTCCACTCTTTATGGCTCGACCGGGGGGATTGGAACATTCCAATGTCTTGCGCAAGCTGCACGGCTTGCCTCAGCATTAGCCAACTTGCTTTTCTCTTCATCTGGAAGCTCAACCTTTGGTTCATCAGTACAACCATATGTGCAAACGCTCGGGTACACATACACGCAGCTCATAAGAGCGACAGCCTGGATATTGGTCAACGACGCATGCCCGTCTTCGGCCATCCACAGTCTCTCTGCTTCCGCATAAAATTGTTTGCCTTTCGAGGTCAAATCGCCGGGAGAGGAGAAGACTTCGGGGAAATCGGAGTATGCCTTCGATCAAATTAGAGATGTCACGCGGATAGGTGGAGGCCGTGGGGACACCTTACACTTGCCATTGCGAGGACACTGTTTACGAGAAGCGGACTGCAGAACTCTGAGTTCGTGTCACCTTTGTTCATGTGCTTGATGAACATCCTTTGATCAATGAGTTGGGACAGTGGGTGGTCCCACGTGAAATACAAAGAGATCAAATGCGAGACGAGCTGCTCGTCTTCGGTGACTCTCGTCCAAGGTTTGGCAGGTACTCGGAGCACGGGAACATCACAAAGCTTCTCTAAGGTTATCCTCGAGTGAACATCTACAAGCAAACGTTCATGCTGAGCAATGGCGTCCTCTGTGGAGTTTCCTCCCTTGAAATTATCCGATGTCGCATCACTCATATCCATAGTCGGCGCATCTACAGCGGAGGCAACGTCCTTCAGAGAAGGAGTCTGTCGGATAGTACTCAGTATGTACTGGATCTTGTCGTCTTCCGGAGATCTGAGTGACTCCAGCAAAGAGTTCAGCAGTCCTCGATAATATTCTAGCTCTCCGAGAGTGCGTTTAGCGGCGACTTTGCGTCTGAGGTCGAGGGTCTCGTCAAAGACACATTCGGCATCGGTGTTCTGGCATGCTTTGCAAGGCGGCGGGCGTCCTGTACACTGTGATCCAAAGAAGCAACAATTAGCGCCTGCGTGTAACGAGAAGATTATGAGAACCGTTCTTCAATGCTTGCGTCCCTCCGTGGTGCTTTCTCTTTCACCCATCTCCCACCTGGTTGCGGCAAATTCCGGTGCCTCCTTTTTTTCCCCTCTCGAGGCGAAAATCAAGAGATTGTTTACCTTTCTCTTCGCTTGCTTGCAGGGTAGGCATGCGGTGGAGTTTTTTCTCGACTTTGTTATGGGTACCCCTGAGTGCACCACGGGGCCTCGTGGACCCGGGGCGAGTGTTGGAAGGTGCCTGTTCTGATCGTCCTGATTCATCTTAAGGGATCGTGTCTATTTCTGACGACGAAGGCGAGAAATCCGCGCTTGTTCAGCAGAATCTTAGTGTTGCCTTTATATTCTAAATTCGCGAAAGAGTACGAAAGGACCACCGACGTGGCGATACGATCGTGGAGAGAGAAGATTTGGAAAACCGGCGCCTGCAGTCAATCGAGCTTGCTGGCAACGCCACCCTCTTGCACTCCTCTTGTTTTTATGCAACACACTCTCGGTCCTTGTCTTGCGAATCGCGGATATTTTTTTAACATCTATCAGAGCGTCGACCGGCTTCATGGGAGGGGCGAACAGCCATGTCCTATGTCAGCGACACGTAACGGGATGTTGATTGTTGAGTTCTGCCGGGGGAAGTCGGGTTGGTAGTGGAATTTGACGATGGATGTTGCAGCAACGAGGGAGCTCAATCGCCAAGAAACAATTATTATACGGAGAGGGGAGGAGAAAGAAATGGATGGGGATCCTACCAGCACAAAAAAAAAAAAAAAAAATCACCAACCAGAAAAGGGAAAAGTCGAAAAGAAACAAGAAACCAGAGAGGGAGAGCAAGGGGGAAAAGGGAAACATCCAATAAGGAACAGATTACATCTTCAAGAAAAGAAAAAGAACGGTCGGTGGAAATGGATGCATCCATCGACAGGCTGTCTGGAGCCGCCATTTGCGTCCATGACAGCACTCTGAATGGTGAAGCTAAGGAGAGCAGACAAGCATCAGGTCCGGTTCTCTGGAGGCTGGCCCGATTGATTAGTGGGTGGGGTTATGGCAAGACACGATACAATATCCAGCCATTATGGACTTGAACGGCTCGGGTCCTGATTCACGGATCAATCTTCCCCCCCAAGGCACATTGGGCTTCGATCTTAGGTCCCTCCTGCCCACCTGCCTATTCAGCACAAGACATGGCGGGCTGGATCCTTCGCTTTGGTCCGGCAGCCCAAGGCCTGCATCGTTGGTTTTGTTGGTTTACATCCCCAGGGCCCTTGCACCGTCGTTACCCTATAGCACGGTCTACATATGTTTGTCTGCGACGTGTTGATGCCAGGAATCCAACAGCCGTCGTTCCCACCGATTGGGCTGGGAGCGGATCAGCATGCGGCATCCTCTCCCGGTACGATGTTCTATGACGGAGTTTGGCGACGACGGTAGGTTATCACGCGGCAAAAGTTTTCGCATTTTTTTTGCAAATTGGATGGCGAATCTCGGCATAAAAATCCAGCAAACAACAATGTCAGGGAACTACACCGTAAGCTATCAGACCCGCCAGGCGCGAAGGCGGGAAGGGGTGGGAAGACACAAAGGGCGACAAAGCTGGCTGTCCCAGCCGGGTCTAAAAGCCATATGAAATGTCACTGGCGGAAATGAGCACCGACCGGCGATCCGCTTGGGATAGTTGAGCTCGAGGCACCGGGGGTTGCTGCCTCTATGTTGGTTCGACCACTCTGTTCCCGGGTCTAGCTCCCATCAAGGCCCACCATCCCATTGCTTTAGAATTACATCAAGCTCGTAATGACTAGTGGTAGGCGTACTCTGGGCGTCCATACTAATCTGTCTTTGTGCTCTGGAAGCGGATCCAATTTGAAACGGTACCCTTTGTGAGCTGTGGGGAAGGTCCATGCGGATACCGAGTCAGGACGGACCAGTGAGTCCACCATAGATGGAAAACTGCAGCGATAAATATGGCACCGTCTTCTCTCTCTCTCTGCGTCGTGCCTATGCTAGGACATGCAACGATTGCCATGAACAAAAAGGTCGCACGATGACCGGATGGCCGCATCATGAGAAAATGAGAAGATGGACTACTGGGTGGCGACGTCGATGATGCATCCGAGGTTGTAACGGCCAATCAGAAGACACGATGACTACAGTACGGTTCATCATCGGGGATTCTTAGCACGAACAATTCTCGGTGCGATGATGTTTGGTGGCCTCTCAGCGCGGTACTGGGAGTGTCGATCATCGAAGGTATCCTTGGGAAGTGGAAGCCATCCGGGAAGAAGGGGGGGGAGTGACACACCCATCACGTTTGTGTGGCCATCACATGATCCCCGCATCATTACATCAACGTCCCAACCCAAAATTCACTCCGTAGATTGCTTCAAATATCCGCCGGCGGGTGACTGGTTGCTGCTCAGGGACCGGGGGATTTGGATTTCAGATTCGGATTCAGATTTCGGTCAGACATCTCCCTTCATGCTTCCCCATGCGGCTGTCAGGCGGAGTCTTTCCCCCAGCCTATAAGATGGGTTCATCGTGTTACGGTGTACTCCCGTGCAAGGATTTTCGAGTCGAGTCTAGATTGTAATTGCCCGAGTCACCTGCCAAGCCTCGTTTCTTGATTTCCTTGGGCTTTCGTTAGCCACTTCCCCGACAGGACTGGTTCACAGCGAAGTCTACGGAGTAGATCAAGCGGGCTGCGGCAACGAGACTGGGATTCACAAATGAAATCTTCGTAACTAGAAAAAAAAAGGAAGAAGGAGAAAAAGAAGAAGAAGAAGAAGAACAAAGAAAGTAAAATGAAACCCTCCCACGAGACCCCAAATCCTCATGCTAGCCCAGAACGCAACTGGATGGGCAGTCGAGCAAGATGGTACACAGTAATTAGGGCTTCCCATCAAACCATCCCGGACCCTGCAGTACTACATAATCTCCAGCTCGGATCAGCCATGCTAATCCCGCCCGGGTGTTTCTTCCTAGCTAGCCCTGTGTCACCCCGTGGTCGATTGCCGGGCCCTAAGACGGAAACTGGAAACGCTGGAAGGAGCAGATCCTGCATCTACCCGACACTAACGCTGGATATATTTCGACGTTACTCCGTATATACTTCTGTCACCTTGTCGGTTTCCATGGAACTGTCGGATCTGGGTGTGATGGCCTTGGCCTGGGACGAACTTTACCCCAGTTCGTGTGGAATTGTGTATATGTATATGGCGGGGTGGAGGTGATCCCCTTGTCTTTTGCATGTGGCTTGCTCGCAGATCATCCACTGCTCTTACCTTGGTGACGATGCAGCGTGCATGGTATTTATACGGCAAGGAGCTGTCGAGCATGAACTCTAAACCGGAACCTGGCGATGAATGACAGGATGAGAGAAGCAGGGGATGTCATCGGACTGTCATCGGTCAGCGTGGAATTAACTTGTATACAACAGTAGGATAAGCTTATGACATGACAAACGGTCTCCGATCTCGGGCCCCATAAAGGCCGCAAGTAGCCGGGGACCCTGGTCGGTTAGACTCGGCACCTCCACCGATAGGAGGGGCCGAGTAGGCGGTGAAGGCGATAGATAGGGACATCTGCACGTCGCGGCAGAAAAGTATTGTCACTCAAAGGGCGTCAAAGGGCGTCGTTAGTTGTCCCCTCGAGCCTATCACAATCCCCAATTGGACTGTCAAGACTCCATGACAAGCCCTGAAAGTTCGTTCGCGGGTCACGGCAGATAATGGTCTGGCTGTGATCTGGGAGGCTCGGATATCGATGGCGAAACGTCCCAGACAAATCAACTCGGCCCCGAGAAAAGTTTTCTCTTTTGCCCCCCCGCTTGGAGGGCCCCGTAGACAAGGCCGTACTGTAGTCATAAAGCGGGCAGTATCCGATTGCGCTGACCTTTTTTTGTATCACTCCTTCTTATTCCTGGTCTTGTTCTTATTCTTCCTTCTTTGTCGGAGGTTCCTGTCATCAACTTGTCACCGCTGTTTATAGGGTCCTCGCCAATTCCTTGGTCGCATTTGGTAGTAGTATCTCCGCAGTGACTCACTCCTGCCTCTTCTCCTCGACTATATAAAACCATATACCCACTTCCGTTCTCCCGAAGATCTTACTCCCTCTATAACAACGCTCATCATGGGTTCCGTCGCACGTTTGGCCGAGTTGGATGCCTCGGTGGTCAACATCACCCGCACGACTAACCTTCGACCTGTCCCCGCGCCTGGCTCGCCGGAGGAATTGAGCCATTCCCACTGCACGGATCATATGGTCACCGTCCGGTGGACCGATGTCCATGGTTGGGAGACCCCCGAGATCAAGCCGTATGCGAACCTGAGCATCCCGCCCACGGCCTCGTGCCTGCACTATGCCACCGAGTGTTTCGAGGGAATGAAGGTCTACCGCGGATACGATGGCAAGCTGCGTCTGTTCCGCCCCGACCTCAATGGCGAGAGACTGGTCAACAGTGGTCAGAGAACGTCTCTGCCCGGCTTCAAGTTCGAGGAGCTGAAGCGTTTGATCGCCAAATTGCTCCAGATTGATGGTCCCCGTATGTTCGCCCTCCCCGTGTTTAGTTGTATGTGTGACTTCGGACTGACAAGGCATTTGCTCTAGGCTGGCTTCCCAAGGATAAACCCGAGAACTTCCTGTACCTTCGTCCCACGTTGATTGGCAGCGGCCCGCACCTCGGCATCCAGACCCCCAAGGAGGCCCTCCTTTTCATCATCGCCGTGCCCTGGCCCGACCCCGCCAAGAAGAAGCTCGAGCCTGGCGTCCAGCCGGGGTTGAAGCTCCTTGCGTCGCAACCGGACACCATTCGTGCCTGGCCCGGTGGATTCGGTTACGCGAAGCTGGGTGCCAACTATGGGCCCTCGCTTTCTGCACACGGCAAGGCTCAGGCCCTGGGCTTTGACCAGGTGCTGTGGTTGTTTGGCGAGGACCGTCAAGTGACCGAGGCCGGCGCTAGCAACTTCTTCATCGTCTGGGATAACAAGGAGACTGGGAAACTGGAGCTTGTCACCGCTCCTCTGGAGAACCAGCTCATTCTCCCCGGTGTTACTCGTCGCAGTGTGCTCCAGCTGGCTCGCGAGCACTTGACCAAGGCTTATGGATCTCTTGCGCCGGTGGAGGTTGTTGAGAAGACGTTCACGATCGGTGATGTCGAACAGGCGTGGAAGGAGGGACGTATCGTTGAGGCATTCGTCTGCGGCACGGCTGTAAGTGAACTTCTATCTTTAGAAAGTCGTATGTCATGGTTTGGATTGGTGTGCTAATTCGATCCTAGTACTTCGTGACCCCCGTCAAGCTCATCGGCAACGGTGACGTTCAAATGAGCATGGTGGAGGCCAATGCCAACCGCGCCGGATACGCCGCTCAGATCAAGTCCTGGCTGGAGTCTATCATGTACGGCAAGGATGGCCAGGAGAACCACGAATGGGCCTATGTCATTGAAGAAGAGAGTCAGAAATAAACAGGCATACCCCTGAAATGACGGATCGGATCGAAATGTTGATGAAATACCTGCATTGTATATATTTGGATAGGAGCCGGTTTTATGTTAGCAGTCAATGACCATAGAGATTTGTTTTCTTTCAAATCAGATGACTATAACTTGAAGAATTCAGATGCCTTGTTGAAAACAGAGATGTCTAGGGGAAGAAAAGAAACGAGAGACAAGTACCGGGGTCAGCTGAGGGGATGGAACCCTGTAAGCCCTGGCTTAACCTAGTTTCATCTAGACTTAATACTAGATATTAATAGAATACCACATGAACAACAGTCCATTTGAACTATGCATGTAATATAGAAAGGTTCGGATCTTAACTAGGAACGAAATGGCAATCGCTCCCACAGCTAATACTTGCTAACCTCAGTATCACCATCTCCAAGATCCACAATGACCGGTGCATATTCCCCCATTTCCTGATCCTCGTCGCCCTCGTTCGTATCCATCTCGACCTCTTCGCCGTCCTCCAATTGCAGCATGCCGTGTCGAACAACCACCCCACGGTCCAGCTCCCAGTCGTATTCTTCCTTAACCCACTGCTCGAGTCGCTCATATTCGTCTTTCACGGGAGACGCAGCGCCATCCACCACGTCATATAGCGACTTTCGGAACTTGACCAGTAACTTCCGCAGGAAGTCTCCGCCTTCTTCCCCGTCGAGATCAAATAGTCCGCCCTCGACATCGTCGCATCTCTTGAGCTGTAGTAAAAGCAAGCGCAGTACGTCGCTCATGAAACCTTCCCGGTTCTTGATCGCACTTCGGCAGGTGAGGATCAACCCGAGCAGTCTTTTCCACTGCTGGAGACACGAGTAATTCATCAAGGTCAAGATCATGAGGAAGGTGAATTGCAACTCGCCCAGCACCTGCTCTTCCCCGAGCCTTTCATCAACTTCCGTATTGCCCTTGGTGGTACCAGCCGCCTGGTGTATGAGGTCCCCCAGCGCCCAGGATCGATCCTGAGCTGCTTCGGTTCGTTCGCGTCCAATAGCCCCCTCTCTCCACGTTCTTTTCAAATCAATAGGCAAGAACGAAAGCTCGCTCTCCGGCTCCACCGCCACGCCTTCGCCTCCTGCTGGATTCCCCTCCCCTTCCGACAGCTTCTCAATACCAGGTATATCATCGTCATCTCTCCTCGCCGTGCTCGCAGACGTAACCGTCCACCGCGGCCGATCATCCACATCCACCTCATGCGCCCCGAAGATCCGCGACAGAAGTGCCGGCGAAACCCGATCCGTCAGACCCTGCCAATCCCTCCTCCCCTCCTCCTCATTCACATCATCCACCTCATCCGGCACCGACGCCTGACCCCCCACCTTCGAACGTCCCTGCGACATAGAAGACGGCGGGACCCGACTCCGATACCGAAAGAGACTCCCGCGCTGCCACACAGCAGCCAAATTTGCCTTGTACCGCATAGCCTCCTGCTTATCTGCATCGCTACTGCCCAGCAACGGCACGAGAGTCTCGTTGTCAGAACTCCATTTCCAGATGTAGATTTCGGATCCGGTGTCATTGCGGCGTGTGGTGATCGCGTTCTTTGCGTTGATGGTCGTCCCGGCGGCGTTGATGTCGCCGACGTAGAACCAGGCGCCGCTTCGGAGTGAGAGGCTCTCTGTTGTCCCGGTGTAGAGGAAGTGCCAGCCGGGAGGGAGGTCGCGGATTCCGTGGAAATTGGGCGTCGAGGTGAAGGTGATCAGGTCGATGCCGACGAGGGTCTTCGGGGGGAGGTGGGGCACCAGGATGGTGGGGGATGGCGAGACGGAGGTTTGCATGGTTGTCGAGTATGGTATGTGATTGTATTGTTTGATGTAATAGAGAGTGCTATCACTGTGGAAGAGATGCGTTGATTGGGGGGGTGTTGGGTTCAGTTCAGTAATGTCGCATATCGAGGCCGCAAGGATTCGGATGCCCTGACGTCAACCCAAGATGTTATTTTGTCAGATGGCGCTATTATGAGATAAATGATGAGGTTGAATGATAGAGGAATGAGAGAAATTATTACCCTGGATCTGATTACGTGCCAGTCTAAAGGCGCGAGGCAAACTTGTCAGGATTTGTAGATGGAACAAACTGCGGCGCGGATCAGACTTGAAAGCACCCGCGGCTGACCTTATCTTAGCTCCGATAAAAGCCTGATAAAAAGAACCCCTCTGCCAACAACCGGTGATAAGAAGGCTCTCACTGCTTGGTCCTCTACTGTTTATGACTACAAATCTAACAGCTTAACCGCATGTTTTAATCACATACACTACCGTTCCTACGAATTGACAAGAATGCATCATTCCAGTTTTGAGTTATATTGACCTGAGCAGTTGCCACGATTGCCACAAACTACTAACCCCAAAGCCGAAAACAACCAATTGGGACATGAAAAAATTGAAGACCAGGCTTGTATGCCGTTCTCCGCGTTTATTCCATCCACATACACAGGCCAAGAGCCCTGCTGGTAGCCTCCATTCCAGCGTTGCAGAAGAGTCGTACAACTTGGAAGAGAAAGACAGACCCGCACATATCTACAGACGACGACCACGGCGACCACCCTTGCGACGGGTAGAGTCGGAGGGAGTGGGGGTAACGTCCTCGATTCTGCCGATTCTCATGCCGGAACGGGCAAGAGCACGGAGAGCAGACTGAGCACCAGGACCGGGGGTCTTGGTGCCGTTACCTATGAAAAGAATCGCGTTAGCCATGAACCGATAGAATCGGGTAGAGTATTCAAGAACATACCACCAGTGGCACGGATCTTGATGTGCAGAGCGTTGATGCCGAGCTCCTTGCAGCGGGCAGCAACGTCCTGAGCAGCCAACATGGCAGCGTAGGGGGAGGACTCGTCACGGTCAGCCTTGACCTTCATACCACCGGTGACACGGCAGATGGTTTCGCGACCGCTGTTGTCAAATCGTTAGCAATCCTGCACTTGTCGTTGTTCTCTCAGGCTCCGATCTTCAATCCATGTCGAATTTTTCCCGAGACCAAATCCCCATGAACCGAACAATCGAAGCCTGTCGCAAATGTCGCGCAAAATAGAGGGAGACTAACGAAAGATCGGTAACGTGAACGAAGGTATCGTTGAAAGAGGCGAAGATACGGGCAACGCCGAAGACGAGCTTGCCTATAAACCCACCATGTTAGTCCATGCGCAAACGCAAACAACTTCGAGAAAATTTCAAATTCTTACCATCACCGGCCAGAGGGCCGAGAGTGACGTTCTCCTTGGCGGCAGCGGGAGCTTTCTTGGGAGGCATTTTGATGTGCTGTGGTGGAATGGAATATGGGAAGGAGAAGAGAAGATCAAACGGGCGTGCAAAAGATCGAGGATACAGAAAAATGATGGTGTGTGCCCTACCGGCAGTTTGGGGGTTCGTGATTGGTCCAGCATCAATGTGAGCGGGCCCAAGCGAGTGGGTGCCTGAGGCCACCAGAATGAGCCCGTCGGGGTAAGTCGGTCCGAGAGGCGGTGAGTTGTACTTTTTCAACGGCTATTTAAATTTTCCTGCAACTCACCCTTTTGCTTGGTTCTTGTGTTTACCTCAAGAAGAGACGGAGTGTCAATCTCAGTGTGTCCTGCGTCGGATCCTGTCTTTGATTCCGCTTGACTGTCACTTGTTCTGGATTGTACTCTTGAATCTAGTGATTAGTCCTCTCTCAACTGTCGCAGAGCTTTCCTACCCAGTATGGGTTTCACCAAGGAAAATGCCATGATTGGCATCATTGGCATGGGTGACATGGGCAAGATGTATGCCCAGTTACTCAGTCAAGCAGGGTGGAGGTAATCTCTCAATCTTTCTGTTGATTCTGCGACACTTTCCCCGTCTCCTCGACTTCTCCCATAATAGGTATGACTCGCCCCCTCTCTCCCTTGCTTCCCACACTGCCCCTCATTTGGATGATGACTTGAGTGCATTTGGCTCGAGTATGACTCGGGGATAGCTTGGGTACCATTCTGGTGCCTTGGTGACACCCGAGTTGTCAATGATGTAAATATCTCGCTACCTTACTTTTCTTTGTCTGAACTACCAAATGATCTTCCTTTTGGATCACAAGACTTGCTATTCATTGATCGTCGACTGACTCTGCAATGGATTTAGGCTCTTATATCGTATTCCTAAACAATTTCACGTTCGATAGACTACGGTCCTAGCTATATACTAACTTATAATTTACGAATGAAGGATTAATGCTTGTGACAAGCCCGATAGCTTTGAAGATCTGAAAAAAGAATTTGATTCTTCTGTACGTCTCTTATGGCCGCAGCTCATGCTGTTCCTCGACTTATCGTACATAGCAAGGTGTTACAATCTATCCGAATGGACACCTGGTTTCAAGGATTAGCGATTTCATTATATACAGTGTAGAGGCTGGTGTTATTGACAAGGTAGTGGCAGAATATGGCCCATGTATGTCTTCGTCAAAGCCAAAGCTACCATACCTTCCCTTCGAACGGTGTCTGACTCGTGGAATATCCATAAAGCTACCAAGGTCGGCGCCATCGTTGGCGGCCAAACGTCCTGCAAAGCTCCCGAGCTGTCCGCCTTCGACAAGCATCTTCCCCCGGATGTAGAAATTGTATCGTGCCATTCGCTGCATGGACCCAAAGTCAACCCCAAGGGTCAGCCTCTGGTATGCCGCTGTATACCGAGTGACATTGGCGTTGCGCGCATAATAACACCGTTGCTTTCCCTTTAGGTCCTCATCCAGCACCGTGCGTCGGACGAGAGTCTCCGGGTCGTGAAGAACGTCCTGTCGTGTTTCGGATCCGAATATGTCTACCTGACTGGTGAAAAGCACGATCGCATTACTGCAGACACCCAGGCGGTTACCCATGCTGCTTTTCTGAGCATGGGAACTGCATGGCAAGCAAACAAGCAGTTCCCCTGGGAGATTTCCCGTTGGGTGGGTGGAATCGAGAACGTCAAGATCAACATCACCCTGCGCATCTACGCAAACAAGTGGCACGTCTACGCCGGTCTAGCCATTCTGAACCCGGCGGCCAAGACCCAAATCCGCCAGTATGCGGAATCAGTGACAGACCTTTACAAACTTATGATTGAGGGACGCCGAGACGAACTCAAGCGCAGAGTTAAAGATGCCGGGGCGGCTGTTTTCAAGGCAGGCACCGAAGGCCAAGATCTTCTGCTGAAGGATGAGGTTTTGGATCGCTTCTCTCTCTCAAACCGTCCACGTGAAGACACGCCTCCGAACAACCACTTGAGTCTGTTGGCCATTGTTGATTGTTGGTCTAAGTTGGGCATCGTCCCTTACGACCACATGATTTGCTCCACACCCGTGAGTGGCCTTGACTTGATTCTGCGGCCACGACATCTTGCTTACAATCTCTCCGTTAGCTCTTCCGTTTGTGGCTGGGCGTTACAGAATATCTGTTCCGGAACCCCGATCTCCTTGATGAGGCGATCAATACTGCCATTGATGACAAGACGTTCCGTTCCGATGACCTGGAATTCACCTTTGCTGCCAGGGTAGGTCCAGCGTCCCAGACACCGAGGGCGATAGCCATTTCTCCACCCACATACTGACATAAATTGTCTAACCCCCAGGCTTGGTCCGACTGCGTCTCATTTGGTGATTTCGAATCCTACCGCGATCGATTCGAGCGAATCCAGAAATACTTCGCTCCTCGTTTCCCCGAAGCCAGCAAGCTCGGCAACGAGATGATGAAGACCATCCTTGAGAAGACTAGCACCGGACAATCATGAGTCCCTGAAGAATGACAGGAGCAATTCATGATCGGATGATATGATGCACGTTGTTCGTTCTTTCCTTCCTTCTATCTTCGATAAAAAGAGGCAAAAACGCATTGAAAAAGCGCGAAAGTTCAAAACAGAAAGCAGTCATTCAAAAGTTAGCGAGGCGCTGTGGTCACTACTGATGCATTTGAGATTTCGCTCATCTCAACTCCGTTTAGATCGGGGAAAGGGCGTTATTAAGTCGACTCGGCCAGCGGGCTTTTTCGGGTTTTTTATTTGTGCACACTGAGCATACTTCATTCCTATGGCCTCTTCCTTATCGGCCATCCATGTTCTTTCGGGTTAACTAGAAGCAATTACAGCGGGGAACAATTTACTCAAGTACTACTATGATCATGCATGATTAGGTCCTTGTTTTGCCAGTTATACGTACTTTCGTTTCTCCAACCATGTAGCAAACAATAGTGCAGCATGCTAATGCAAGCCTCATCACCCCATGCTGGGTTCTGGTTGGGGGTTTTAGTGTTGGCAGAGATACCGATTGAGAATATTGAAACTGGTTATCAGGCCATTGAATCCAAATCTCAAATTGAACCGGTAAACAGATCTCCATGATCTATAGCAGCATTGGGTGCTCCTAGTTATATAGTGTAAAGATTGGCCACAAGTATGAGGTCTATGTACATACGTACTACAGTTGCACGCCTAATGGATCGAGCATACCTGCTCGAAGAAAGGACCTCACAATGTAAAACAAAAAACAAAGTCAACAGAGTTGTCTATTCTGAGTTTATTCCTAACAAGAGGTAAACAAATAACGCAAAATCAGCGAGAAACAGAAACATAACGAAAAACGAAATCTATGTGTATCTTGTAAGGTGACCCCAAACTCCTGGCAGATGTATGTATATATAAGATAAGAGAGAGAGAAGAAAAAAGGAGGGGGGAATGAGGAGATTGGAGAGGGAAAAAAGAAAAAGAAAAAGAAAGCGCCAGCATGTCTATATCTGAGCCTCACTTCTCGCTGCAGCGGCGGCGGCTGCTGCTGCCTTCCTCGTTTGCAGATAGGCCTGTATGGCACCAACTTTGGCGTTGCCACTAAAGAGGTACCTGAACAGCCGGGCTAGAGCACGCATGGCTTCCAGCCAGTCCTTCTTCAGGGTTAGATCGTAGCCTCGAGTAAATTTCAAGGCGAAAACTTCATCCGTAGAGCAGCCCTCTGAATGCACTCTCATGATCGTATCAGCCAGGAAAAGCCCATGGGCGATGTGAACATAGCGCCCGTGAAAGCCTACCACAAAAACCTCTTGGTCATGAGGCCCGGCGTGGACATGGTGTAGGGCGATGTTCTTGGCCAATTGTCCGAGCATGATGCTGAGGGTTTCCACCAGAAATTGGTCCCAGGTCTGTCCTTCGTACCACTTCACGGTTGATTAGAAATCGCGGTGGAGTCGCGTGGTACTGAGCTGACTTACCCCGGTGAAAGAAACGATTGGAATGTGACCTTCTTGAAGCTTCACGGTGGCAGCACCCTCTGATTTAGAAGCGAACTTTTTACCACCCATCACATATTTCTGCATCACTTCGGAATCGAACCTTTGATCGAGAATTAGAACCTTAAGCGACCTAAGAACCGAGGTCGAGGACTCACTTGACTCGGGGAATGGGTTCACCGGCATATTCAAGGTTAAAGTAGATAGTTCTCACCAGCGCCTTCAAAATTAAGCCCTGTGATCGGATGAAGGCTCTATGAGCTTCTCGCCCTGGGACTTCCCAGCTGGTCTTGGGGAGAGTAATCGTCTCCAGGGCTTTTAGGTAATCTATGACCCCTACGTTAGGGCCCTGCAGCCCCTTAAAATAGGAACCAAGGTCGTAGAAGAAAGCTCGAAAGCTCAGTTCGTCTTGCGGCCACTCTACGGTGTGCTCCTCTGTCGCGACATCGCTTTTCCGAAATATCCAAGGGATCAACCCCGCCACATCCAGGTCTATCAGCAGTTAGCGACGCGGATCAAAAAGACCAGAAAGACGCATGTAAGTTACGCAGATGAGACACAATATCCCATACCTTCACATTCTTTGTTCACAGCTCTGGGGATCAGCCCATCAAGATCCACGATCTCGGAACGAATGGTCACCGACATGCCGAGGTAATGAATAAACGAATGTATGGACTACTAGGTGAAATAGGAAACGACAGTGACTCTGGGGATGTGCGCTGGTAAAGTCTCCATTGGGCTGTCCAACTTCAGCGAGCAATTAGACAGCAGGAGCCGTGGAGTGTCATTCAGGTACAAGTGTTTGGATGAGAGAGAGGTAAATACGTTGGAAAGCAGCATGGCCGTGGAGTAGTTACTGCGTATAATCGTTCTTCCGCCCCGATTGTCGCCCTCCTGGCCGTCGGGTACCATGAATTGCATTAATCCTAAATTAACTTAAATCTCCTGAGGGGCTCGCATCGTGGGACTAATTCCCTCATCAACGTGGTTCGATCCAGTCCCTGGCGTGAAACATGTCTTGAACAAAGGTTTCCTGGCCACTTGACACTGGCCTCTCCACGAAAAGTCGAATATATTGTGACACCTGGCCCAATCCAATATGCTTTGGAGCATCCACGGATCGCTTGCATTGGACTAAAAATGAATAGAGGGGATCTTCATTGTCTATTCGGGGCCTAATGATAGTGTCATTCGCTCGCCACGACTGACCCCCATGCGACTTTGAACGGTGAAACTGATCAGACCTTCCGCCCCGAGGACTCTGGTGAACAGCACGGGCTCATGACGACGAACATTCTCGTGAAGGATGTTGGAAACTGACGATCAAAGGATCCTGGGAGACTCTAGCTCTTGCATATGGACCGTGCATCGTGGAGAAGACTTGAGATCTCGCAACCTCTCATCATTCACATCCGCCGATCGATATGAGATTGACCAACGCTGTCGGCAACTCTCCCGACCTGTTTCTCCGCCACAATCACATATTGCTAGGCTCCTACTTTCTGTATAGAAACATGTTAGTTAAGGATTCCATGCGGCACCATGGATCCGGATGTTTCTGATTCCGCCCCCGATTTAATAATTGTGCTGTTGGTATATCGTACCATCTCGCGAACGAGTGCCCTGCCCTCATGCTGCCCCTTTGTAGATATGTGCCATCACTGTAGCTCTGGCTGGGCCTAGTAACGGAAATTCCGCGGCAGACCTTCAAGGTGTCTAGTAGAGCCCAAGCATTCCGTTTTCGCCCCAGATCCTATGGCATGAATATCGAATGCATAGGAATCAAATGTATATTTGTTTTGTGTTGAGGCCATGGTAGTTCGAATGATTTTCTTGGTTTCAATTTCATCGACTTGGAGAGCAACATAACCTGCATAATACCCGATGTTGATGGAATCTTCAAAGGAGAAGACGTTGCCAGGAATGTTACACAGGTCAACGTCATCAGGAATTTCAACAGTTATTTTTATTCCTACCAACTTTCATCATTCGTCTGCTTTTTCTGCAGAAGAAAAAGATTCATTGTCGGTTGTTCTCCTGCTGCGCTCACTTCATGCCTACCTTGAGGCGCATTCCCATGTGACGTACTATTTCCATGCGTGTGCTCATAGACCATGGCCATAATTCCAGGTATTCTGAGTGAGACAACCCTTTTGCTAGCAATATTTGCGATCGATCTGAGTTATGGCGATCTATTTGAGTCGTATGCGAAACTTTCTTCCCCCTTGTATCTGGGGTTGAGTGACACAAGCCAAGCAAAATAATCCCTGCGCAAGATCAATCCGAGCTAGCCTGAAGACAGTAGGGTGTAGGGTGTAGAGTGTAGAGGAGGGGGTATACGGGGTGTATAGCATAAAAGAAGCAATCCGTTGAGGCATTAAATGTGAATCTAAACCATGGAGAAGCCGATCTCCACATGGATCCATGAGGCGCAGGTGCAGCCTTAGGCGATGGGCCCTGTTAGTCAGCCAACAATGGGCGGCCAAGACATGCATTGCAGCCAGCCTGAAACCACCCAGCCGTGGGATGGATAAGCTCGTCTTCATTGTTGCCCGCGAGCTCATCTGTTGCCCTCTGTCGTTACTTCTGTTCTTGTTTCCACTCCCCCCCAATTCCTCGCCCATCTTCGATCGCCCGACCCCCCTGTCGATAGCCAGCCCGCTCCCCTCTCTTCCTCTCCCCTCTCCCCTCTCTCCCCTCCGGAACAGCAGACACTTCCCTTCGAAACGTGCCCGCCGCCTTGTCCGATCCCTCTGAACGCGCTCGATCGACAATCGTCAACGCCACCGGGGCTGCCTCGGTGATCCTCGACGGTCTTCTTCTCGTCGCTCAATGTGGTCCCCCCATAACCTACCCTCCCCGCGATAGGTGATAAAACACTCGATTGGAGCTAGATGGAGATCTATGGCGTCCGGACATAACTCAGGGTTCTCGGCGACGTCGGTCCAGCACCGTCCTGGTGCTGATGGCCGGTCCTTTTCCAGCCAGGATGATGGCTCCGGGGATGGCAGCTGGCCGGGGGTGCCTCCCAGGTCCGTGAGGAACGCTCGCTCGGAGTCTGGAGGCAGTGGGACGATCGGTCCTCGGGGAGGCTCGTTGGCCCCTTCTTTTGGATCTGGAGGACCGGGCAGCTTCAGTTCTGAACTCAAAAGCATGAAGACCTCCCGCAGCACGACCCCGCGACCAGATGACACCTTCAGGCGAAGAGGGAGCAGCAACGTTGATTACAACGATCTGTCCAGCACGGAGGAGCGCCAGGCTGTCATCCGGAACAAGATCGCGAAGGAAATGAAGATCAAAACTGGAACCGAAAACATGCTGGAGGCTTTGCTGGCGAAGAATCCGAAGCACACGAAAGACCAGCGATTAAAAGTGGAATCGGAGTTGAGCACGTCAAATCGCAAACTTGCGGAGCTACACCATGAACTTGAAGAGGAGATTATACGTGCGCAGGAGCCCTCCACCCCTCCTCGGAGCCGTCTTTCCAGCCTGTTCCAAGGCAGCTCGATACGGTCGCCCACTCGCACCAATCTGGACGTGGACGATGAGCAGATAGAATACGGAGAGGCGGAAATGGAATCCCCGACATACGTTCTGGCGGAAACATTACAGGCGTTGGAGATTGAGGGCATGTCGCCCGACTACTACGTCGAACGGGCCAATAGTCTTGTGGAGCTGTTCAAACGGCATCCCACTTTGAAATACGACCTGGCATGGCCGGACTTCGGATTGCGTGTCCAGATCATGCTGCTAAGTGACAACAAAGAGGTAGTGGCGGCAGGATACCGGCTCACGCGCTATGCGATAGCAGATCGAAAATCCCTCCAGATAATTCGCTCTCTACATACCGACGAGCTTGTCATACTATCTCTGGTCAAGGAAAGTAAAGCCAGCATCGAGCGGGAGCAGGCTCTTAAATTCGTTCGGGGCTTTTTGGATGTCAAGGACGGCGTGCACGAGATCTCGCGTGCCGTGGTGCGGACAATTGTCGCTGTTGCCGAGCACCACGAGGATCGATTGCGGAATATTTCAATCATGACCCTCGCCGAGATTTTAGTGAAAGAACCAGCGTTGGTCTCCCATGCGGGTGGCTTTGCGATCTTGCATGATGCCCTAGCAGAAGGGACATTCGGTGCATCGGAGAGTCTGATAGGCAGCTTCTTACACGTGCTTGACACCCCAAGCAGCAGGAAACACCTGCAAGGAGGGTGTGAGCTTGAGGCCGTTCTTGCACCGTTTACCGATTCTTTATCCGACACTGTCCGCAACGGGCGCTTAAAGTCTTCTGCGAAAGCCATTTCAGCCATGCTCAAAACTTGGCCCGGTTTGGTGGTTCTCGCAAGGAATGGTGCTAAACCTCTCCAGTCACTTTTGAATTCACTGCATTACCCCGACGCCCAAGCAAGGGATTTGATCATGGAGCTTTTGTTCGATGCCCTACGGATAAAGCCACCGTCATGGTCGTCATCGTTCCTCGCCGGTCGAAGGCTGACAACTTATGGGAGAGTTGCAAACTTGAGGTCCGATTCTGACGCGAAATTGACCCGGGGGTACTATGATGACCGCGATAACCAATTCGATCTAACCGCCCATTTTTCGACCCTGATCCTTGCGACCCTGGTGGATGCTGGGCTATCACAGGTTCGTTCTCTTATCATCCTACTTGGAACACTACTGACTGAAAGAAGGCACTCTCCGATCTAATTGAGGATGAAGAAGACCTTTCCCTTAGGCGCAAAGCCACACTACTTTTGACTGAAGTCTTGAAGCTGGCGCACCACTCGTTGCCTCATAACATTAGTGCGAAACTCCAGGTTCTTCCGCACTTATTGCCCGCTGCCATCAAATTCGACGTTGAGAATCACGACGTTTCTACTTCCACTATCTATCAGATCGAGAGCATCAACAGGACGCTGGCACGCTCCATAGGAAACGTCCCGAACGGAGCGGGCCGATACAACGTGGAAGTAGACATATCTGCCTCTCTCCTAACGGGAGATCAGGGCAAGGACAAACTGAGCCCTGCGATGGATGAGACGCAATTTCGCAATGCGATTCTCGAAACACACGTATTGAACACGGTGAACTATATCAAGTGGAAATGGGATTTGATTCACCGCATCGTCGAAGGCCCGTTGACGAACCCCAAGAGGCTGGATGAGGCCATCAAGGGATCAAAATTCATCAAGCGACTGGTGGGTTTCTATCGGCCTTTCAAGTACAGGTTCTCTATGCTCCCGAACACCAAACCGAACCAGCGCTATGTTCGGACAGGATGTGCATTAATGCGTACCCTAGTCCAAGTGCCAGAGGGCATAAAATACTTGGCTGAAAATAAATTTTTGAGACAAGTGGCCGAGTGTCTTGCCCAGGTGGACCGCATGAGCGGGCTTACTTCAGCGTCGCCTCTCTTTTCCCGAGAGCAGATGAGCAGTACACTCAGCGGCGGCTACTTTGCCCTGCTGGGGACACTGAGTGGTGATGCGAACGGTCTCATTATGATGGAGCGGTGGCACATGCTCAACATGTTTTACCATATTATCGAGCTCCGAGATCGGGATGACCTGATACAAACGCTTCTGGGGAACATGGACTACACCAAAGACAGCCATCTCCGAGTCATTCTATCCAAGGCTCTCACTACCGGATCTAAGGAGATTCGAATATTTTCCACTAAACTCCTTCGCAAGTATGCCGTTGGGAACATCTCTCTTGCTCCACAGACGGCTATTGGCAACGCAGACTGGGTGGTTAAGCTTCTCGTGACTCAGCTCTACGATCCCGATGTTTCCGTATGCCAGATGGCTGTGAAGATTCTGGAAGAGGCATGCAATCACCGCGATTATCTTGAATATGTCGTGAAGTGTCGACCGTCTCTTGACCACCTGGGAGAGATCGGCGCCCCTCTTCTGCTGCGGTTCTTATCCACATCGGTCGGCTACCACTATCTGGATGGCTTAGACTACATCACGCAGGAGATGGACGACTGGTTCCTGGGCCGTAACGACACATATGTTGGGTTTGTCGAAGCTGCTCTCACCAGAGCGTACGTTGATCAACCACGTAGGGGTAGTCTTGTTCCCGACGATCTTGTGGATATGCAGGATATCGGGCTGGTGCCGCCTCATTTCTACAGAGAACTGGCCCGAACCGCCGAGGGTTGTAAACTTCTTGAGCAGTCAGGTCATTTCAACGAGTTTGCTTGGACCATCCGTGATTTTCAACTGCATGAGGAAGACACCGAGGTCCTCCTCAAAGTTAAAGGGTGTTTGTGGGCCGTCGGCAACGTTGGGTCCATGGAGCTGGGCGCGCCATTTCTCGAGCCAGATATTGTCGAAAAAATCGTGAGAATGGCTGAAAGTGCAGAGGTTTTGACCATGAGGGGCACAGCTTTCTTTGTCCTGGGGTTGATTTCACGTAGTCGGCATGGCCTCAGGGCACTCTGGGATTTGGGCTGGGACTCTGCTGTTGACCAGAAAGGAAATTCTCTGGGATTGAGTCTTCCAACTGATTTCAACAAGCTCTTCCTGGTATGTTCAGAGCTGCCTGGCATCGCTTCATACGAGTCTAATCTTCATCACTAGGTGGATTTCCCCTCTCATTCTCGGCATCCCGGGTCGAAACGCGCGTCTCAAGAGAAATTCAAGGAGGCTACTCTCGATTCCGATCCGGTCAACCAGAAGATTCTCAAGCTCATTGTTGACATGGGAAACACCGTCCTTTCAAAGCGAGCGGCGGCGGATCTTCACAGGTAAGCGAGCCTGCATTTCTTTCTCGAGCCGTATGGCGACTAATATATGAGTTCAATCTGTAGTATCAAGTCGAAGCAACCCGAACGATTCCACCAACCACACCTTTTCCGCAAAACTCTTAGCATTCTAGAAAGCCATCACTACCGACTCCCCGCCCGTCGCTTTGCCCTTGATCTGTTTGACAAGAGTGTCATGCGACGGATTGTATTAGAGGATGAGTCTGACTCCGAGTCCGAGGCCACTTCATCTCAAGAATCGAGCTGATTGTCTAGCTGTCCTCAATTATTTGCATCCTGTGTTTGATCTTTGTTTTCGTTATTCATTATTTCTTTGAGCCTTATACCCTGTAACCCTGTGGAACGACTTGTGGTTTTTGTTTGGAGGGTTTCTGGACGATTCTTTTTATTTCCCGTCATTTCACTCATCTCTTTTCCATGTCCCATTATTCTTCGGTCCTCTGGTTCTGGGACGGTGTTTGGAACGGCTTTGGTTACGAGCAATGAAAGGATATCAACGTGTCACGGTCTGCTCAGTTATACTGAGCCGAGCAGGTTCTCATGTGAAGGAACAGGAGACGGAGAGAGAATTAAAGTCTCATCGAACATAGTTCCGCCGTGTTCATATACCGCGTATTTGATTTGAATAGCGAACCCGCATGCCTGTCTGGAAAGAAGTGTACATACGATGGATGATATGATCAATATACAAATGAAGCCGAGGCCGACAGGTTTCGGACTTCGGATGGTCAAACTCCCCGTCTTTCCCATCGCCAAGTAACTCCAGTAATCAAGTCATCTCTCTCCGCTTTCCCCCCTTAACCGTTCTCCAGATTTGGGTTATTATGTGATGCGCTTCTGAGCGGAAACACGGCCGTTCTAGTGATTTGTTTTCTTGATCTTTACTTTTCTAGGATATTGCCCGATCATCCGACATCCCGTTGTCCCTCATGGATGCGCCATCTCCGTACTCTCCACAGGCCAACCACCACTCGGTCCCCGACCCTACGACCCCTGCATCCTCAACATCGTCCCTCCGGTCGATCTGCAACGATGAGCAGTCCGCGCTATCCCCCGACGCAATCATCCACTTGATACAATGTTCGCGCTGCTCGCGACCTTTACGCGCGCCTCTCCGACTGCCGTGCGGCAACGCCGTCTGTCGAGCCTGTCTGCCGCCGATCCGTACACGCACGGGCATCACCTACCCTGGGAATGAGGAGCGCAAGCAAGGATTTACCTGCTACTGGGAACAATACGATAGGGATTGCGTGGGAGAACACTGCATCGGGGACTGCGGGGGGGACATCCTGTTGACTCGTCTGGTGGATGTGTTCGACGAGGTTCTAGGAGCTGGCTCCAGCACGTCGCAGGGTGCAGGGTTCCGGGTGACATGGCAAGGGCCTCGCAGAGACGGGTCGGGAATATTTGAGGAACAGAGCGCAACGTTGGAAGGTAGCCTGCTGGAGGGTACTTACCATCTGGTCAAAAGCGGCCGGCTCGATTACGACGCGTTCGGGGTCAGATATGAGGCGTTTGGGCAAGGGGAACGGGACGACGGCGCACTGGTCAGGCTCAGAGAGGCTATACGGAACGAGCTGGATTGTCATGTCTGCTACTCGCCCATCCTGGACCCGTTGACGACGTCCTGCGGCCATACGTTCTGTCGCGGGTGTGTCATAATGACCACGAATCATTCCGATCTCTGCCCTGTCTGTCGGCGAAAGCTCGTCGTGGACTCGACGGTACGGGCGGAGCCAACAAATAAGACAATCGCCGATCTCATAGCGACACTCTTCCCGGAGGAAGACGCCCTGCGACGCGAGGGTTCGACTCGAGACACAGCCGGCACTGATGATGAGACTACCCTCCCGTTGTTTGTGAACACGCTTGCTCTCCCGACGGTGCCAACCTTCCTTCATATTTTTGAGCCCCGGTACCGCCTCATGATCCGGAGGGTCATGCGGAATAGAAAACGTAAGTTTGGTATGGTCATGCTGAACGTCATGGGCAGGATCCAAGGGGAGCTAGGAAGATCTCGATTCATGCAGTACGGCACGGTCATGGTGGTTGATCGCTATGAGCCGCTTCCCGACGGACGAAGTCTTGTGATTGCCACAGGACAGTCTCGATTCAAGGTGCTCGGCTCGGACATTGTGGATGGGTATTATGTCGGTAGAATACGACTGGTGAATGACATCTCAATTACGCAGGAGGAGAGACGAGAAGCACTGGAGACGTCAGTCCCGCTATCACCGTCCATCGCAGATTCTCCAAAACCCTCGAGTAGAGAGAGGTTGCTGGAGACAATGCCGACGCAAGATCTTCTGAAGCTTTCTCAGGCGTTCGTCCGGAAGCAGCAGAGTCAAGAAGTGCACTGGCTTAACCCGCGTGTCTTGCTGGCATACGGGGGCATCCCCGACGATGCTGCTCGATTTCCTTGGTGGTTTGCCACCGTGCTACCTATCAAGGAACACGAAAAATATGAGCTTTTACCGACCACCAGCGTTCGACAGCGACTCAAAGTCAGCGCGCGATGGGCGCAAAAGTTAGAGTCTGGGGAATGGTCTGTCGATACTAGATGTATTGTCGATGTCTAACATATTACTGACCAACTATTCTTCTTTAGGATGATTCGACCCCGACCCCCGGTGTCGTCTGTCTTATGACTAGCCGTCCCTCTCCTGGTCTTCGCAGTCCTCGTGTTGATAGTAGGACAATCTCCATCGCTCCTGCCGGTATCAAACCCGGGCGTCTTCACGACCTTTTCACCGTTTTTCATGTCGGTCTCAGTTTCCTTTGGACCCACCCACCCCTTCTCTCTCGATAGGCAGCAGCAGCAGCAGCAGCGACAGCTCATGCGGGGCCAGAATTCCGAAACGTACGTCTCGCAGACCATCGTTGTGGGTGTATTCCTAGTCATTTTCATGGTACAAGTGGCCGCCAATGCCGGTCAAATTTATCGATCAAGACGACAGGAACGAGACCTCCGACGGAGGACTGAAACCGAGCAAGTATCACCTCAGCCCGTGGGGGAGCAACCGCAGGAGATGGAGCGACCAGATGTGGAGGCGGATCGCAATACCGGTTGAGTGCATTCCTCTCGAACTGCCAGTCGACTGCAGGCGATCGTCATTCGGGCGGCGCACAACAATGTCACCAATCGGCTCCAGTGCCATCGGATGCCGAGAAGGAACCAACGAGGGGCAAACTGGCGTAGAGATGATACCTGCGCTGCTTCCTTGCTGGTAGTGGGCCCGTTTTGAATCCCTGGTCTCAAGGGGTTTCTGCACAGGCGGTCAACCAAGAACGAAATGGAGATGATGATTCAATTTCTCTCCAAGTTCGCAGTGGATGGGATGGAAAAGACACCCATCAACCACGGGGCTACTCCCGTACAGCTGGCCGGAATGTGCGCATCTTCGACTTTCTCCGGCCGTTCTCCGGCCCTGGATTCATTCTGATGTATCTTCGGAGATTTTAAGACCGATCAGCCGACCGTAGGCTGATGATGGTCGAACACCTGTTCATGTACGGACGTTAAGTAGGCTCAAGGCTATTAGATTGCTGAGACGTTAGGACGTTAGGCGTAGTTTCTTAAGGCACATGTTCCGAGTACCTCCCATCGCAGTCGCCCGAATTAATAATAGATACTAGCGACGCGCCTTGCGTCGAGGTCGATGATTTGCCTGCTCAAGCAGGAGGAGGGGAATTAATGAAGTTTGTGTTGTGACTTGTCCAACGCCACCGTCAAGCATCGCTGCAGAAGGTGCAGCGATTCGTCGAGAGGCCGTTGAAAAGCGCCTGGCGGGTTCGATGGAGATCAGGAGATTGGGAGAGCGACTCTCTACACATCAATTGGCGCCTGTGGTTACTGATCGTCTTGCCTCTGCAGCCGCCCATCCACAATGGTCTCTGGCGCCGTTGACTGGTCAAGACGTCAGATCTCTGTCTCAAGTGAACAACGTGGGGTGACGTTGGGATATTTCTTTTTCTATTCTTTGGGAGTCTGGGAAGGCACGAGACCCTTTCCCTGGTCCCTTATCTTTCTCTCTTCCTTCCCTCTTTTCTTCTTTCTTTTCTACTCTTCCCTCCCCTCCTATCTTTGCTTTTCCTCTTCCCTGCACTTTTGTCCTTCTCCAATTCGACTGTCGGGGTTCCCCTGTCGGTCTCATCGAAGGATACTGGCATTCACGGTTCGTCTTCCCCGTCATCCCATCTGCCTTCAGACAGTCCGTGGGGAACGAATTGGTCAGGCACCGAATACTGAACATCGTTCTAGATTTCACCACACAATGTCTTCATTTATTACAGTTGAGAAACGTCATCTGGAACATCTGCTAGAACAGTAAGTGTGCTGTATTCGCCCGCTTGTCTTCCTGGTAATGCTATGGCTTGGCTTGTGTTGTGTTTGGGTGTGCTATACTTCGTATACACCGGCCCATAGAAGACCCACCCGCTAACGAGGGAATGTGGATAGAGCGGAAGCTGTAAGTCGCACGAGCTAGCGATCTATGGTTTACTTTTTGTCCGTTTGATTTTGCCCGTTAAACTCAGGCGAGGTCGTTCAATAGCGCGTATCGCCGGAAAACAATGCTTCCAACCTCGACTCAGTGACGATCCCCAATTCCGAATATAAGCAATTGGTTAGTCGTGATCATGATCCGATGACCTAGGTGGTCGTCAGTGCTGACCAACACCCGTGGAATGACAGCTTCAAGAATCCGAACAATTCAGTATGTGAGCCATCAGACAACGGACCAAACATTTATTTTCAGCCCGGGATTGCACCGTCTAATTGCACGTCCTGACCTAATCCATAGATAGATTGAAAGATTCTCTCCTCAAGGGCGGATTGTCGACGGAGAGTCTCGATGTCAGTGCTTGATGGAACAAGGTTATAAAGACCCAGCGCGACGGGCGAGAAGGCTGACCATCTTCAGGTATTGATCTGTGGTTCAGAACCACACGAAACGCCACCAAAGCAAGACTTTATCCCGGGACATCCTGGTGGTCGTCGTGAAGTTTCCTCTAGTGTTGACTACTATGAGCATTCCAAAAACTATAAGCTCTCGACAAATTTCGATGGAGACGATGACGACGAGGAGGAGGAAGATGGCCTGATGGACCCTCAGGACAGTGACGAAAAGGACGATTGCGAGGAATCCTCGAGGACCACGGGATCGTGTGCTGGCATAACCGATCGACGAACCATTTTGATTCGTGGCCTACCCGATCGAGTCACCCATAAAGATCTCGTCGAAAACATGCGAGGCGGCGCCCTGCTACATATTTACCTTCGAGCCCGTGAACGCACCGCCAGCATCTCGTTCGTTGAAGAGGCCGACGCCCAAGGTTTTTATCAACATGTGAAAGATTACGGTTTTTATGTAGCCGGCAAACGAGTGAGTTGATCGGTTGTCAAGCAATATGTCCCATTCTAACCAACTCATGTCATTCTAGGTGGAGGTCCTGTGGAATGACCGCCAGTTCTATATGCCTCCCTTTGTTAGGGCCAAAATCAACAACGGAGCGTCGAGAAACATCATGCTCTTCAACGTGAACCCCAATATCACTGAGGGGCTCATTCGCAAGGATCTCGACCATATCCATAACCTTATTGTGGTGGCGGTTAAGTTCAAGAATGGGAACGCCTATATCTCCACCAACTCCGTTCACAACGCCCTGTTTGCCCGGTCCTGCATGATGTCACGTCTCACTTACAAGGGCATGAGGATCGGATTTTATCCCGACGAATGCAACCAGCCACTGGTCAAGATTCCTACAGCACCAAAAAAGGACGCACAAGCCGGGGTCAAGAAGCCGGCCTCGATTCCCAACCGATTCCAGCTCCTGTCCCTCGATGGGGGTGATGAGGAGGATAGTGATGGCAGTGAAGGACTGAACGGTACTCCCTTGGGCAGTGGTATCCGCTGGGCAGACAACAGAGTATTGGCTTAGCCTAGGGCTGTTGAAAGGAGAGCGTTTCTTTTCCTTTCGCTGCAATCGTTCGAGGGAAGTGGGAATGAAAGTGGGTAAGGGGGACTTCATAATCAATTTTTCTTAGGAATTGGGAGTGGAAGTGGATGAGGAGGATTCATAATTGTTGCAAGATTGGTCGAATGAGAGCCGGCACTTTCACCTTCCCGACATCTAGACTGGGAATCATGGACCCCACATGTAGGGCATGAGAGCATGGCACAAGAGTTTTGGCTACGAAATAGGAAAGTTGACGCATGATCTACATGAGGCGACACAATACTCTAGGCCCAGATGCAAGACACAGACCCCACAGGGCAGCACAGTACATATCAGAAGGCAGGGTCATGATGTTCATTTCCTTTTTTCCCTTGGCTGGAAGACATTCTTGAATTCGTAACATTTGAGCGTTTGTAATCCAGCGGACAAAAAAACCGATAACCATTAAACAAGGAAACCCCCCACGGACAGGACAACGCAGGATGAATATCAGGAACGACGTCTCGCTTCTTCCCATCAGAAGACACGCACCGGCACATCGAGGAACAGGAAAAGAAAATTGGGTGATATTTGAGATAGCTGGCCTATACTAAATCCAGCCGAGGCCAGGCCTAGTATCGCACCATTAAACAACAACATTCCACAGCGGCAACCAGAATCGAACCAAAACCCGATTGTCCCATGGATTCCTTTTCTCCCTTTTGATTTCCTCCCCGGTACACCGTAGACACCATTCTGCGTTTCTGCACAAACATCTTTTTTTCCATTTTTTCTTCGTTTCCTCTCTCTCTCTTGCTCCCTTTCCTCGCTTCCGACTGACGAAAAGAAGAGAGTAAAGAGAAGAGAGAGGGTGGGGGTTCGAGAAAACAAAGATGGCGGGATGTATAAGCCCCCCGTCCGTCTTTCTCTCTCTTTTTGATCCCCCGTTTAACGGTAGGATTTCTGGTACCTGGCGCGGGCACCACGTCCACCGAACTTCTTGGGCTCCGTGCGACGGTTGTCGGCAACGAGCAATGTGCGGTCGTACTGGGCAAGAGCCTGCTTCAGCTGGTTCTTGGAGTGCTCATCGACGTACTTCTGGTAGTAGGCGACGATGGACTTGGCGATGGCCTGACGGATGGCGTAGACCTGCGAGGTGTGACCACCACCGGAGACGCGGACACGGATGTCGACACCGGCGAACTTGTCGGCACCGACGATGAGGAGGGGCTCGTAGACCTATTATTTCAGGGTATATTAGGCTATGGGGTTCTTTTTTTTTTCATATCCTTCCTGGCGACAGAATCTCCCTAGACTGGATGGAGAGTGTTGTGGCGTACCTTGAAGCGGAGGACCTCAGGCTGGACCAGAGAGAGGGGCTGGCCGTTGACCTTGACAAGGCCCTTGCCTTGCTGTAAAGAGAAAAAGTCTCAGTTATCTTGTTCCTTGTATTTGTGCGAGTGGGTTTGAAATTCGAATTGTGGGTGATGGTGGATGGAGAGTCGATGGAATAAAAAAGATCATGGGTGTTTCTGTTTCGCGCATGCTGATCGTCCCTCTCTTCCGCCTGTTTTTTTTTCTTTCTTCTTTCGACATTCGTTTCTCTTTTCTTTCGTATTGTTGCGATTATTTCCTTTCTTCCCTCTCTTTCTTCCAAACATTGTAGGGTGTATTCATTCCATTTCCGATCTCAAAATCCAAGGGCACGGTGTAGACAATCACCGGGATTCAAACAAAAGACGGTTCTCTCATACCTTGCAGTGGGCGACAGCGGTAGCTAGATAGACACACTCGTTAGCCTTTCAGTCCCCTTTGACGATATCCCATGTCTCCATCCAAGTCGCGCACACAAATCATCCCCAATCCCACAATCTCAATCGCAAAAATCAGCAAACTCACCCGTCTTCTTCTTGCCGAAGCATTGCACACTCGGAACGGAAGCCATGGTGATCGAATGGCCCTGATCGGTGTCGGAGAGGGAGTGTGGTGGAAGTTGTCGTCGTCTCGGGCTACTTTCGATTAATTTTTCGGACGGGCTGCTTCGACTGGAGCGACTCCGTGCGGGAGGCCTTCGCTTAGTGTTGGCGCTAGTGCCGCTTCTAGGGTTTCGGTTTGCTCCGTTTGTTTCTCGCCCCGGGTCACGTGGGGCGGTCAGTTCGAGTTTGTTCTGTCGGACTTCGGAGAACGACGGACTTGCTTGCTGAGAGAGCTCAGATCGTCTGCTTGGGCTGGTCTCGTTCTTGCCTTTCGTTCTTTTGGGTTTGTCTTTTGTTCATTGACGTGATTTGACTTCATCCATCTGACTTTGTCCTCTCCGAGTCATCCAGTCCTGATCCTCCATCATGTCGCAAACCATTGGAAAGGTACAACTCGACAACCCCAACTGCCAAACAAACTCATCCGACTAACATACACCCTCCCAATTGAATAGACCCGTCTCGCCTACTCGCGCACATGGCATCACGTTGACGTGGGCACCGACGGCCGCTCCCTCGGCCGCGTCGCCTCCGCCATCGCCCTCCACCTCATGGGCAAGCATAAGCCCATCTACGACCCCTCGACCGACTGCGGTGACTACGTCGTGGCCGTGGGCTGCCACGACCTGCGCACCACCGGCAAGAAGCGCTTCCAGAAGAAGTACTACACCCACAACACCCGCCCCGGTAGCCTGCGCAGCATGACCATGGACAAGATGTTTGAGAAATGGGGCGGCGGCGAGGTCCTGCGCCGTGCGGTGCGAGGCATGTTGCCTAAGAACCGTCTGCGGGACAAGAGATTGGCGCGGTTGAAGAGTATGTTTCCTTCCAACTTAGTGGCTGATGTTGTCGGTCGAGAAAGGACTATGGGCTAACTACGATTCACAGCTTTCGAGGGTCTCGCTCACCCCTACAAGGCCAACATCGTCAAATTCGGGAATCAGTCGGTCATTGGAAACATGCCCGAGGTGCAGCAGGCGTTCAAGGAGACCAAGGCCTCTGCTTAAGGGATGACAAAATCCCCTAAGTACTGTATTATGTCAACTCCTGCTCTGCCTCTGGAGTGTTTCGATGGTGTAATTGTATACATACTTGTACCGTGCTGTTTGATTATCTTCCTGTCTTGTCGTTTTTGATGATTTGCTAGCGCATGGGTGGGAGTTTCTTTCTCTTTTCTTTTCATATTTTCACACCTTTTTTGGTTACCTCGTCTTCCCCATCTAGGTATTCGAGTTCTACCTACATTTAACTTGCATCTTTTCCGACAGATTTGAATTGGTGTCTTTGTATTATACCATACGGACCAGTGAGGGAATTCAAAACAATAAAGAAAAAGAACAGAATAAGGATGCTCGTCATGTATGCCTTTATACCCCAGACTATATACAGTTGACCGTCGAAAACTCCCAAAAACACAGAGCACAGGTATTCTTTATCCGTCATGCATGTCTAATGCGGTCTACAGCTTAGGTTTCACCGATGATCGTCCCACGGTGCACTTGATCAGACCGTTGGGGTCGGTCTGGGGGGCAAACACCTCGGCGTTCTTGCCGGTGTTTTGCAGTCCCTTGTGCCATTCCAGATCTGGGACAAAAAAGTCAGTATGACAAGAAAAACAAACATCGCGAAGGATGCAGGAGGTAAAAGAGGCAAAGCGACGTACTGATCTCAAAGTAATGCTTATTGGGCAAGGAATAATCCACCGTCTCCACCAGCGGCTGATAGGCCAGGATCTGCTCGGCCATCTTATACATAGTGTTCTGCACACTGGCACTGTTATCCTCGGCGAAGATCTTCAGAGTGACCTCGCGGGCGCGCTCCCAGGTGGCGTCGAACTTGGGGACCACGGCGCGGACCTCGTCCAGCGAGGCGAAGTTCTTCCAGGCCCAGCTGGCATCGACGTCGGTGCTGAGGATGCGGTCCCAGGTCTCCTTGAGGGTGGTGTACTCGTCGCGCAGGAAGCCCCAGAACTGCGACGCGGTGCTCTTCAGCACGGTCAGCTTGGACAAGCCCGACGTGATGGCGATGCCGCGGCCCTCGGTCACGTCGACCTGCACGGTGCGCTTCTCCTCGCTGTCGCGCACGAACGAGTGCGGGTGCGGCTTGCCGTCCAGGGTCAATCGCGTCCAGCGGTGCGTGACGATGTGGGCGTGCGCCACGTGGATGTGCTTGTACTTGGTGACGAAGTGGGTGCCCAGGATGGAGCCGAACAGCTCCGGAGGAGTGACGGGGTTTTGCTTGGCGAGGATGTAGATGCTGTTCTTGATGGAGTCGGTGGTTACGATGACGCTGTTATCGGCTTTGGTGTAGCTGGTTTGAGTGTTACTTTATTGTGCTTTTCTTTCTTTCTCTTGGTACGGAGTTGAGATCCTCCATGTTGATATCTAACAAGGGAGAGAGCCCTATATATACCAGAGGAACAAAGGGCTTGCAAGGGCACTTACGACGTCTCGATCTCACCCTCCAACAACACGCAGACGGTCATCTCGACCACGGTCTGCACGCCAGTCTTCTCGTCCTTGTGCACCTTGTAGACGCGGACATTGTCCTTGCCGTAGCGAGCTGCGGATACTTCAGCCATGGTGAGATGAGAGAGAGAGAGCTCGTGTTGAGATAAGATAGAGGATTAGATAGGGATGGGAATGTAGATGTAGATCGGCGCGGAGAAGAGGTTCAAGCAAGGGGCAACCCGGACGAAAAGGAAATCGCAACTAATTTGTAGGACCGACAGGACGAACGAGAGAACCCCCGTGAGGTTAAATAGTCGGCAAATCGACGATGAGCGGCGTAGGACGACGGCGAGAGTCGAAGCGATGGTCTGATGGCAAACGTCGGCCACCTCCGATGGCCGCCTTATCTTATCGCCTTGTTCTCCCTCCCTCCCTCCCTTCTCTCCCTCTCTCTTTCTTTCGTAATTCCTTACGTTCTCTTCCAGGATCATTTCATCGGTGATGTTAATTTCCAGACTCACTCGGGAATCAATTGGTCTCGTTGGATCAGCAGTGACAGATCAAAACAATATGATGCCAACACTGACAGTAAAGTCGCAACTTGCGGTCCAACCAACGGCACCGGAAGTGGGATGCGCCGCGACAGCAAATGCTCTCGTCAGTGATCAACACGTTCGATTCTAGAGTGCTTCAATAAGCTATATTCAAGATCTGGATGCTTGGTACATCCAATGACCCCCTGAACACCGACACCGCCCATTCCATGCCATCATGGCGGCCCCCCAGCTGTCAGGCTCCCAGTCTGGGCCGCTTCTCAATCCTTTCCCCACACCAATCGCCGGCCTTAGCTTCCTTTTTCCCTTCTGCAACTTCAGCTGAAAATCACAAGCTCGCTCGTTGCGTTGTGACACCCGCCAACACTCGCTCCCATGTGGTCGTCTTTGCTGGGAGGGCAGAAACGCCCGCCGTGGCTATTACGGCTGCGCTCCTCTGCTGGTTTTATCGTCGCGACGGTCTGGATTTCCTTTTTCACGGTATGTCGCAGCTTGCGGAGAATTGCGAAGAGTCTCCAATCACGGCCATCATCGCCCCGGCCAATACCGAAACCCAGTACTAATGTCAATTTCAAAAGGATTATTTTCTCTATGCCATGGTAAGCCGCGGCCTGCAATTTGGCAAATGCGCCGTCCCCTCGCTGAACCCTCCGCTCCGAATAGATCGTCCCCGTCATGCCGACTGCCCTGGTCGACCGAGCCGGAGTACCGTATGAAGAGCGTATGTTCTCAATTTACTTTGGTCTGGAGGAAGTTTAACTGAGCGTGCCTTGACAACAGGGGAATACTGGGTTAGCGTGCTCCTCGTGTGCGAAGCCGCCGTCGCCTTCGTCTGCTGTCCTCTTTTCGGCTACATGGTCGACGTCACTCCCACCCGCCAATTCCCCTACCTCTTGGGCCTGATCCTGTTGGGTGCCTCCATGGTGATCCTGTCCGTGGCTCATACTGTGGGTCTATTTGTTCTCGCACGATTGATCCAAGGTGGTGCGACCGCCATGGTCTCGGTGGCAGGTCTGTCCCTGCTGACCGACACGGTTTCGTTTGACAATCTCGGCCAGACCATCGGATACCTGGGGTCGGCCATCGCGCTGGGCTTTCTTTTAGGTCCCCTGCTGGGAGGCATGGTATATGACGTAGCGGGGTATCAGGCGGTCTTCGGAATGGCCTTTGCCATTGTGGCCATTGATGTCATTATGCGAGTTGCGGTGATTGAGAAGAAGGTCGCGCGTCGCTGGACGGCCGACATGCCTGAGGAAGACCGTGAACCGGCGTCTCGTGAACCAGCCGATCGGGGATATGACACCTTTGCAGATCCCGGACTCGTGTCAGACGCAGGTCCTGTAGGGCCACAAAAGCCAGCGCTTCTGCTTATCGCGCGACAACCCCGGGTGATAATCTCGTCGTGGGCGCTTCTCGTCCAGGGCGTGCTATATTCAGCCTTTGATTCAGTAAGCCATTCTTAGATCGTACTACCGGGTGGATGTAGGCGTTGATGCTAACTCTGTAGACCATCCCGGTCTTTGTTGAATCACGATTCCACTGGGGACCTTTCGGAGCCGGCATGGCTTTCCTGCCCTCCGCCATCACTGCGCTCTTCGAGCCTTATTTCGGTCAGTATATGCCGATCCGACACTCCGCATATTTTGACCCTCGCTAATGCAAGGGGCGTGGAACAGGTACCCTGTCGGACCATTACGGCGCGCGTCTCATTACCTTCCTGGGGTTCTTGCTGCTGGCTCCACCGCTCATCTGCCTGCGGTTTGTGGAGCAGAACACCACATCTCACGTCGTGCTCCTGCTGGTCCTTCTCGGCCTGATCGGACTGCTGATTAACTTGTGTATCCCGGCTCTGTTTGTCGAAACGCAGCAGGTTCTCGAGGATATGGAGCGTAGTCGACCGGGGGTCTTCGGCGAGCAGGGAGCCGTGGCGCAGGCATTTGGCATCCAGACGATGGCCCAGTTCATGGGACTGACCCTGGGACCGCTGTGGGGTGGATTCTCGGAGTATCAGTATGGATGGAAGACCATGTCGTTGACGCTGGGGGTGCTGGCAGGCGGGACAGCGATTCCCATGCTGTGGCTCAGTAATGGGCAGAAGGCGGAGGCGGAGGATGAGGAGAGAGAGCGCCTGATTGGAACATGATATCGCTCGTAGTCCTACTTCGTATAGAGAAAAAGCACTGCCTAGACTCGTGGGTCAAGTGTGACATGTCCGACTCTAAAAGATAAACATCGGCCAATACGAAAACATGTGACTCCCTCTGGGCATTCCGCGGACCCCGATCAACTTCTTAAAAGTCTCCATAAAGTCTCCTTCCATCCGTGTTACTCTGCACGTTAACTGCATCCCATCAACATGGCGTCTCGATTATGCAATGCCTCGAAGATAGGGAGACTATCCAGAACAACAGTAAGCCCACCTGTCCACCCTTAATCAAGCATTCAACTCACCCAACCCAGCTCCCTGGATCAAAATCCACCCTCCACACCTCATCCCTTCATCACCAACAACAGCAACAAACAGCTCAATTCTACCTCCCCCATGAATCCGTCCCCCACGCCGCCGCAATCCTCGGCTTCCCTTCGCGACAATCCGTCTCCAGGGCCTTCCATCCCGGCACCTGTCGCGAGATCGTCGATCTAGCAGTGACGATCGCCGAGTTCGAGCCCGTCCGGCTGTATACCCGTCCGGAGGATATCGTCTCGGCGCAGGGACTGATCAAGCAGCGAATCCATCGCCACCCGGCCAGCACGAGTCAGTCCTTGTGTCTTGACCATGACAGCCAGGACAACCAAGAGAATGGGAACAGCACCCCCGTCCCTGATCTCCAATCCCGAATCCAGATTATCCCTTGTCCGACGAACCATTGCTGGGTACGGGATACAGGACCAGTGTTCGTCCGTCCGGTAGATACAGATCCAGACCTAAATCCTACTACTTCCACGACAACACAACAGCAGCAGCAGGAGCACCATTTCGCAGTCGACTTCTCCTTCTGCGAATGGGGCAACAAACATCTCGACCCTATCTTCACACCCCTCCCCGAAGATACCGACGACCCCAACACTGTCTGGCCCATCCCCTCTCCCACCACCCTCGCCGAAAACACCGATTTCGCAGCCCGCGTCATCGCCTCTTTCTCCCCTTCCTCATCTTCCTCCATCCCCATCACCACCGCCAGAGTAACCACCCCCCTCCGCCTCGAAGGCGGCGGGATCGAAGTCGACGGCCAAGGAACCTTCTTCGCCACGGAGAGCAGTATCTTCTGCCCGCAGCGCAACCCGGACCTAACGCGCGCGACGGCCGAGGAAGAACTAACTCGTCTCCTTGGCGTGCGCAAGTTCATCTGGTTTCCGGGCCGCAAGGGGCTAGATATCACGGATGCGCATGTCGATGCGTTGGTTCGGGTCGTCAGGCCGGGGGTTGTGGTTGTTTCGAGACCGCGGGGTTATGGTCATGAATCTCTTGGAGATGGGAATGAGGAGACGACTTCTACTTCAACTGCTACTGCTGCTACGTCTACTAGTGGTGAGCTTAGTAGGGTCAGAACACGACGCGAATGGAAACGCAACTACACCGAAATCCTCGCAATCCTATCCCGCGAAACCGACGCCCTCGGTCGACGATTCGAAGTGCATGAGATCGAGGAACCGGACCCGAAGTATCTGACAACACAACAACAGGATACTAGCGCTGCTCCTGATGCTGTTCCTATTGCGGAGGAAGAGGAGGAAGATCCCGCAGCATCATATGTCAACTTCTACTTGGCCAACGGGGCCGTCGTGATGCCGGTGTTTGGGGACCCCGATGCGGACGAACGGGCCGTGCGGACCATGCGACGGTTATTGCCGGAGCGGGAGGTGCGGACGGTGCGCGTGAACTGTCTGCCCCGGATGGGCGGCGTGGTGCATTGCGTTACGCAGCAAGTTCCTGCTCTCTAGTTCTTTAGGCTCTCTGGGGTTTATGGTTTGGGGGTATACGGATATGGAGAGATAGTATAGCAGAGTGCAGTGTAGTGTAGGATTAATTTTCAGGATCTCCACTCATACAGACAGACATAATATAATGGATCAAAGAAACGATGGTTGAAGAATCAATCCCAAATCTAAATTTATCTCCTTTTCAACATACAGCCCAAATCACACTCCACTGGGGCCCTCATATCTTCTTGGTTTTGTCTTCATGTCTGGCCTGGCCCACAAGCACATGATATACATCCAAACCACCCATATGATGTACAAGATCAGAGTAGAGTAGAGAAAAGAAGAGAAGAGAAGGTTAAGAACATCCCGAGGGAAAAAAGCAAAGCAAAGAAAGAAAAGCAACAAAGACATCGTCTTTTTGAGAATTTGACTGCTTCAAATACCAAATCCAAGAGAGCAAACGGAAGATAAAAAGAACCCAACCAGCCAACAACGCCATCCTATGCTTGAATTCAGTTTCAAACGCCCAGTATCATATCCCTCGAGGATTTTTAAAAAGTGGTAAAAAGTGAAAAAGAAAAGAAATATCTCGCAGAAGTCGTAAGTTCCAAGAACCCTCAAAATCAAGACAAAAGCTCAACCGGAAAAACGCAAAGGGATAGTATGTAGAGGGTAAGAGATGGTTTTCACAAACTCAGTTGATCAATACTTCCGACTCGTGTGCTTCCACCCAACCGGCCACCCCCCTTGGTCACCATGCCTAATCGATAGAACCGCTCGTCCCCGCCGGGCGTCCTCCCCCCGATGTACCATTTCTCCGGCCCCAGGGCATCCCGGAACCCGCCAGAGCCGTTGGAACTATCGCTGCCGCGACGTTGACGGTTATGGCCGCTGGCTATGGGGATAGGAGTCGAGGATGAGGCTGGAGTGGCTGGTGGGGAGGACGGAGCTGCAGGGGAGTCTGCGGCGGCAGAGGTCTGATTGAGGGGTGTTCGGGGGTGGGAGTTTGGTCGAGAGTGAGCGGATGAGGAAGTCGAAGCGGAAGGGTGGTGGTGGTGATGATGATGATGATGATAGTGATGAGTTGTCGTGGAGCCGGGCTCCGGAGAAGAAGCGCCGGAGCTGCCCGCCTTTGTGGCTATCGCTCGAGCATTCTGTGCTATTTGAGAGGACGGTCCCGTTGCGGACTGCGTGCCCGCCGTAGAGGCCTTATAGGTAGACTGGGCGCGAAAGGCCGCGAGGAAGTTGGCCAGGAAAGGCCTGTTGGTAGACATGGCAGATGGGCGGTGGCGGTGGTCTTGGTAATCAGAATCCGGCCTTCTGGTGGACATATAAACGCACGCGGCACCCCGTCGGGTTAGGATTTTACACTCTGGTTGGTTTGATATTGAGCAGGTTCGAAAGAAGAATCAACGAGGGCGGGTTAGTGAGATGAGGGATGGAGGAGGGGGGATGGCTCCTTTGCGTCACTGGTGGATGTTGGCGAGACGATGTAGAGACAACAAATCCGCAGTGAGTGATCAGTCTTCTAGATATAGACAGGTGTAACCCCTAGGGCGATGAAGGCAAACGCGACCTCGACTGGAAGGACCTTGGAGGAGCGAGGAGACAAGAATTTAAGGAAACGGAGGTCGAGGGCCGGGAAGTCGTTATTCTCCGAGGCGTCCCGTTGCCGCTGAGGCGGAACCACCAATCATCAGAGTCGGATATCGGGCGGCGCCAAAGCAAAGTCGGAAGTGACGTCTTTGGCTGTGGAGAGGAAGAATCCAAGAACAGCCCCGCACCAGCGAGAAGAAATTAGTCCAAGATCAAAGAACGGAGCGTCTGGTCTGATCCGGGGAGAACGCGGGGTTGACGAGGAGAGGAGGGGAAAGAAGAGAAGAGAAAAGACAAGAGACAAGACAAGAGAGAAGAGCAGCTCCTTTGCTCCGGTTTGCGGCATTTCCCGGAGCCTCCCCCGAGATCACATGCCGTCATTCCGTTTGGATGCCTTCAACTCACTCGTCGGACAAAAGGGTGCCAGTCACTACTAGACGTCTATCCGCCGGTCTTGGATCGTAATCTTTCCCTCATTATGGCTCTTGGATCTAATCACATAAGTCTATATTCTAGCTTTTGATCCCCTGTCTGGTCCCCATAGGATCGTCCCCTAGTCCAGGCCGAGTGCGAATACAAAAATGAACACATGAAACATCTCAGGCCCCGATAGAGTCCGATCCCTCTGCAAGGGAAGACAGGAATGTAAAATGCAAGCTGACACAAATGGAGAGACAATCAGACAACCGACGTATGGAACATCATTTGGGCTGACCAGGGGCAATGCATCGAAGTCGATGGACACACAAAGAAGCCCTCGCTGGAGGGGGGCGTCACATCGTCCAGGAGCAACCCAGCCACAGAAAACGTTTGGAATAAAACAACACGTTGCGAATTCTTCGCAATCAACGCGCAACGGGAAGAGAACGAGGTGAGAAATATGAAGATAAAAGATAACCAGTTGAAAAAGTTACCACAGAAAGGAAAAGATAGGAAATGAAAACAAGCATACATCTCCCCATGGCCCCCGTCTCCTCCAGAACCAGAAATGGAACAAAAAAAAGAAAGAAAAGAGAAAAGAGCACTCATATGTCCGGAGGGAAGATGCATAAGCTACTTACACGGGTGGACTGAGCAACGAACATGCGGATCGAGACGGCCGTGACGTTTGAACAAACGATCCCAAGCACAGTCGATGTTCATGCGACTCGGGATTCAACAGCAGGGAAAAGAAAAAACGACGGGGAACGAGGTGTTGACAGAAGCCCTCCCGTAAGATCTTTTGACACTGACAAAGCAGCAGAGACGAGGAGAAATCGAAGGAAAACGCAAGGCACAAAATCAAGAAACCACATGCCCAAAGTCTATGATTGGACGCCGGAGAAAAACCACACACACCAAACCATCGGCCCACTCATAATGGATGGAAGCAAATCAAAACAAATCCTGGACCGCCGCAAAGTTGCACTCGCCGTAGTGAATCAAGATCAATGATGCTGGCACGGTTTTTTCGAGAGAAATAGCAAAATATCAAAGAACAAGCCGAACAAGAAACCCGCAATGGATGAAGAAAAGAAAATGGCCTTTTTTCGTAATAGAATCGAGGATGGGATGCCGCGATTTGAAATGAGCTAACACCGAAAGCTCACTGCACCAGGCCTATGCGAAATGATAGAAACTTTCTCCCACTTTCTTGTGTTTTTTGGCGCGAGACGCAGGCGATTCTTTCGGAACTCCCTAGATCCTGAGGAAGACGAATCGGATCGCTAATCGTTCGTAAAGAACGCCGGTTCCACACACAACCTGTAGACAAAAAAGATGATTGAGCTGCTTTCATTTTTCAAGGGTTGAAGAGAGAGAGCAAATAAGAAAAAGCCCCGATTCGTTTAACGTGCACATCGTTATATTGAGCTTCGACTCAATCGGCCATCACGCATCCACTTTATTTCGCCACTATTGACGCGCGGGCTGAACGGTGCCTGAATGTCGTTCGTCAGTCACCAAAAACTACAAATGGAGAGACGAGATTTTACATACCGTCGCCGCCCAAAGTGGTCGATGCCAGATAAAGACCATTCATTCCGCCCTCCTGGGGACCAGCGGTGGTGGTGGGGTAGTACTTCCGCTCGGCGTCGACGTGAGCGTGGATCGGCTCCTGGCCAGATGCCATGGACTGGGGGAAAACGGGGTTTATGTACCCATCGGAAGCTCCGGGCTGAAACATCGAAGTCCAGTCAATTTCGCCAGTGTGATGGGGAGTGGGCCCAGACATAACTGGGCGTTTGGGATCTTGCACGACCGGGGGTTTTACCTGCTCAAGTGAAGGACGGTCCACGTTCAGATGCTGGCCCGACGCATCGGTACCAGGCTGAACGAGGTAGGGGTTCTGCTTGGGAGCAGCCAACCAGGGGCCCCGCTGAGGCGCCTGTCCCGGGGGGAAGGCGTCCTCGGGCTGTCCACGGCTCATCCCGTTGACAGACGACATCGAAAAGCCCAAAGGCTGCTGGTCCGGATACCCAGGTCGGCCGTGAGCCAGGCCGTTTCCGTTCACGGCTCCGTCAGCGTAAGGCGCACCCGGCATCCCATTGGGAGGGGGAACGGCAGCGTTGACTTCATCCTGAACCGGCTTGGCATTGGCCGCAGCTTGGGATCTCTTCAAGTGTGCCTGGGGATGAGACAAGTGAGTCGCACCGGTGGGGTTGCCGCGACGTAACGAGCACTTCTGGAAATGGCGCTTCAAGATATCACTTCGGGAGAAAGTGTCTTTGCAAAGCACACACATGTAAGGGCGATCACCAGTGTCTGTAGGAGGGAAAAAAAAATATGTTAGTGACGATGAATTTCGAGACGATCCGGAGCGCGCGTGGCTTCCGATCAATCAAAATCATATGGAATAACTTACGTCTAAGCAAATGACGCTTCAGGTGCTTGGCGTGAAGATATGTTTTGTTGCAATGCGGACAAGGGAATTTTCCGTCAGCATCCTTGGCCGGAATCGTGGTGTTCTTCGCGCTGCCATTGACGCCATTCGCGACGGGGGCGGCGCGTCCGGGAACGCTCGGGAGGATACCGCGACGGCCCTGAGATCCCACCACCTGGGTGCGGGGAGGTTCCTTTGCACCATAGGGACTAGCACCGTTTGCGCCCGCGACGGGATCGGGGTTCATCCAAGGGGATCCCTTGCCATCGGAGTAGCTGAAGGCGCCCGAAGGGAGTCCGGAGTAGTCAGGACGGCGGTCCCGCGGGGGTGCCGGAGCAATCGGCTGCGGGTAGGTCTGAGCACTCGACGCGGGAGGCAACACGCTGTGAGGCGGAGGATAGGGTTGCGACGGCTGAGGCTGCCCTTGCGGATTGGGGTGGGAGAGGAAAGACGACGGAGGCAGGCTGCCCACACTGGTATGAGGCATTATGGGAGCGGTGGAGGACGCGTAAACATCGTGAGTAGTGGTGGGATACCTCGACAGATCCGGCCTGTACGGCGG